CACACACACACACACACACACACACACACACACACACACACACACACTCTTGCACGATACTTACCTTGGTGTAGACCCAGCCAACCCAAAGTGTTCATTTAAGGGACAGGAGCTGCATAGGAGAAGAACATGGGGTTTAGAAGACTCACCCTATCTTTAAACATCTTGGTGGTATGATCTCAGGCAAACTACTTATGATATCCCAAGTTCTGCAAAACAGGAATGGTATATTAACCACTCTTACCAGTGTACTATTATGATTAATAGGAACTGTGTTCATAATGAATTTGTAAACTCTGAGTGCTTCAAAAATATGAGAAATATATACCCACGTGTATGTATCTACATCTCTGACATAAAAATTATAAATTTATTTCTTCATCTTTATGTAGAATTTTAATTTTTTATTGAACTTTAAACGTATCCATTGTACATTGAAACAGATCGTCCGTTTAGGAAACAAGCTGAAGCTTCATTTAGGACACTGAGATGTCTTTAGAATATGATGCGTTTTTTTGTTTGCTTCTTGTTTCCTTATAGGCTAACCGAGCAATAAGTACCGTTGGGTTTGTGACAGCTGCTGTTGGTGCCTTCTCATTCCTGGGCTTGTTTCCAAAACGACAAAGGGAAAAATACTATTAACAATGTACTGGAGAAATATTGATATTGAAGGAATTTGGAAGGAGGAAAAAAAACCTGGAATGAATACTTAGTGCATCATTATTGTTCCAAATTCCTATAATGGATGGCAGGCTCTTTAATAAATTGCTTACTGATATTATCTTATCATTGAACCAGTGAAATTTTCTTTTCCTCTGCTAGCATAGATTTGCTGTGGCAGCTTGAACAGGAAACCTTTTGAGAGAGCCAGCAGAAGATCTTAACAAAATCACATCACATTTTATTTCTACCATAAATATTATTTTCCTTTTCCCTGAGGGTGGCCATTTTGCCAAAGGGATGAAACCCTATTTATATATGGTTTTGAAAGAAATTTTAAGAACCTCAAATTGTTAGGGTTGACATCTAAATTCATATTTCTTTTCTTGTTGGAAAAGGAGCTGGGAAATTCAGCATTTTGGTTAGGCAGTTCTAGGGACTCTAATTTACAAGCCTTTTGGGGATGTACCCTCATCTTCCTGCACCTGTGTAGATGTGGGTGGATGGGAAGAGGAGAGGCTGTCTGCTCCAGGGCTTCAGTTGCCATGATTTCTGTGGAATCTACTTGCTTGTCAGGAGGACATGACAAGTAAGAGTGGGCTGTTATTTCTACAGTGTTACATATTATTCCCTTTGGATTTTGAAGTATTTCAGGGATTTGACCTTTTAACCTTGACAAGAGATCATTAACTTTGTTTTTAAAGTGCCATATTTGGAAAACAATATCCCATATTCTTAAGACTTTTACTAAAAGTCAAGGAGTGTCATAATTTTATTCTCTCATTTTTTATGTGCTGAATTAAAGAAGCTGCATTTTAGTGCTGTTCCAGTGAAATCCTTGGTGGCAGCAGATGGGGGAAGGTGGAGTGCAGTTCTCTATAACCTAGGATTACATCAGACATTGTAACATGACCCCATAAACCACACCAACAGCCAATGACATCCATCTTATGCTATCATCAAAAGGTTGCCATTAAATAAATGTTCAAGTTAATATTAGGGGGTTGGTGCAATGGGAAAACTAGGAATACAGTAGCTAATGTAACTAAACAGAAGACTCAGTGAAAGTCTTGTTCCTAGTAAATTGATTTAGATTTTACCCCAGGGCCAGAAATACTCAACAAGCTAATTCCAGGGTTAATAATAATGATAATAGAAGGAGTTGTCTGCTGCACTCAGAGCCCCAGAGACCCTGTATCTCTTCCCTTCTTTTTCTTGAATTCCTTCCCTTTCTTATGGCACCAACTCTGTCTCCAGTAACCCCAAAACATTCTGTTCTTCCACTGGTCTTCTGGGGAGGTGTGAGTGTCTCCTATCAGGAACTAATGTCTAAAATTACGCTTTCATTTTTACTCTAAATTCAAGTATCTGTTCCTTTTATGCCTCTTCCCAAGTAATAGTTAACAACAACCAAAATGGTTTTCTAGTATTGTCAAGTTAAGATGAGATTGGCAGTAGCATGTGTTACCTTTCCCAAGGTACGCTTAGTTTTCTAAAGGATGCCTACGTAGAGCAAATCTTAACCCGAAGCAGGAGAATTAGGTGTGGTAGAATTACTACACCCACCAGTGGGAGAAGAAGCAAAATTTGAAATCAAGAACCTCCTGAGAGCCTCAAGTGCAGCCTTTCTAGAGAACTCTGAATGTCTCCACTCCAGAAGACAGTACTGTCTGTGCTAGATAATGTCACAAATGCACTTTTAAATTAAATGCATGGCATGTTCACATTGGTAGTGTTTGAGGGTGCAGTAGTTTTCACCCTTTAGAGGTAAGCTCACAAAGTTAGTCATCAGTTTCCCATAAAAAATGATTACTCTCTTGATGATGACCAGCTTAAGACTGTCCAGCTTGTTTTTTCTATAGGCGATTATTTGATATCATGCTCATCGTGCTTTTCTAAGACAGAGTCTCACACTATCTCTAGGGCTGGTGTACAGTGGCCCGATCTTGGCTCACTGCAACCTCCACCTCCCAGGTTCAAGTGATTCTCCTTGCCTTGGCCTCTTCAACAGCTGGGATTACAGGCACCCACCACCATGCCCAGCTAATTTTTTATTTTTATTTTTAGTAGAGACGGGTTTCAATATGTTGGCCAGGCTGGTCTTGAACTCCTGACCTCATGATCTGCCCACCACGGCCTCCCAAAGTACTGGGATTACAGGAGTCAGCCTCCACGCCCCGCCTCATTGTGCTTTTATGAAATGATTTTGCTCAAGGCTATTAAACCTTTCTCTGAGCATATTTTTAGCAGTCAGGAATGGAGTTCAACTTTATCACATTCCAAGAATAAAAATTATGAAATAAAGATCATCATCCACCAGAAACCTTACAGGTTGTAGGAAAACCTGGGGGAAAAAGCCTATACCATTATTGAATCTATTTTTTAAAAAATCTTTTTATGCTATGTAAATATTATATAGTGTATCAATTAAATCTTTTCGTTCTAAAAGTCATTACTAAATGCAGATGTCAGTTCAAGGAATTTGGACTACCATCTTTTTTAGGTTGATGTATAGTTTATAATCATAAGCTAAAAACCTCTTCTTTTTAAAATGTTTGTCTTGTTACTGGTAGCCACTAAATTATACACATTTTAGAAATTATTACTCTCCAGAGAGCTGTGATCACAAGAAAAGGTTAAAAAGCAAACAAAATGTAAACACAGAGGGATTGTTTTAATAAGAATTTGCATTTATGCTGCTGGTTTGTGTAACATTTTTAATGATTTACAGTAGCAAATTTCATGTTGAAGACATCATTCCTAAAGATTTCAGAATTGTAAGCTCAAGGCTATCATATATTGAATCTGTACATCCTGGTATTAGGCACTTAATTGGCACTCATATAATGGGACTGGTTAACGAATTGCCTATGATCTGGATCTGTTAAATAGCAAAATTAGATTTATTGTTGTAAGGAAATCCTAATAGGTAATTTAAAATGTTCACTAGAAATAATTTTTCTCTCAATTTTATGGTGAGGGTGATATTTATATTAAAGATAATAGTCTACAGAATATATTTGTAAAGGATGCACCATTTCATGTGGTATTTAATGTGCATCTAATAAGATGACTTAGATCATTACAAGATGAACTAGAACATAAGGTTATTTAGTAGCCTGGGAATTGTCATACTGCGATTACAAATATTATGAGTCCCTTTTCTAACATTGTTATTAAGATGAGTAATGTTGAGTTCTGGACAACTTTTAAAGTTAGAGCTTGAAGCCGGGTGCAGCAGCTGTAATCCCAGCACTTTGGGAGGCCGAGGTGGGCAGATCACTTGAGGTCAGCAGTTTGAAGCCAGCCTGGCAAACATTGTGAAACCCCATCTGTACAAAAACTACAAAAATTAGCCAGGCATGGTGGCAGATGCCTGTGATCCCAGCTACTTGGGAGGCTGAGGCAGGAGAATCTCTTGAACCCGGGAAGTGGAGGGTGCAGTGAGCCAAGATTGCGCCACTGCACTCCAGTCTGGGCGACAGAGAGAGACTCCACTTCAAAAAAAAAAGAAAGCTTGAGGTTTTCATGTGTCAGTAACAGTAAACAATGTTGCCATGCTTCTTTAAGTAAAAGTATGTTTTTACAGTTTATTTCATTACCTTTGTGATCTACTCTAAACTTTCCTGTTCACTGGCCCCAAAATGCTACACCTTGAGAGATGCCAAACTTTGGTGGAGTTTGCTTATATATTAACGGTGCCCATGCCAAGATTATATGGAATTAACAAACACCTCCTTCATTCTACCACTTCCACACAATTCTGGCTTACTATAGTTAGGGCTGAATTTCCGAAAGGATTGCATTTCTGAAGTAAATGTTAGTTCTTGTTTCTCTATGAGAAGCATACAAGAAAAACAAAAAGAGGAACTGTAACCTTGGGAAAAAAAGATATATATGTAAATATTCTTCACAAATAAAGATTTAAGTAAACTGTGACAATGTATTAGTAAAACTTTCAAAGGCCAAATGTTGTCTCAATTTTTCTTCTTTCCATTGATGTTCATACTACTAATTTGACTACAGTACCATGAAAGCTGTTCATTTTAAATAAAATAATGCTATGCAAAATGAATACAGTTTATTGGAAATGATATTGCTGGAAATGAATTTCTCTCACTGATAAAGGATACAGGCAGAATAAGCCTATCTATGGTCCTTTGCTGCAAGGTTTAATGCAGTGAAAATATGTTTTGAGTCCTTGAATGGAGAGAGGAAAGATAAGGGGAGACTATCATCACTTCTCCACAATGCGTTAATTTTGGGGAAAGAAGGCAATGCTGTTGGGCATGTATGACAACATTTCTGATTACAGCCTGGTCCAAAAATGCCGTTCTGTGGGTTGGCCTCCCAATTTGAGTTTTCTTTCTGGAATCTTTTCATGGCTTTCATAGCCTCTGTTGATGTAGAATCCATTTTTGCCATCACCTGAATAATCTGTCCTGTTGGTGGGAGGCCAGGTTGAATCTTCTGCCAGCTTTTTTTGCCAGGTCCTATATTGACTTTTAGAGTAAAATCCAAATTTTTTTTTGATCAACAGCCAGAGCTCACGATTTTGAAGGATGGCATCCTGAAAAATCAGGTGGGAAAAACAATCAATTCATTGTGCAGGTCCCCCTGTAGCCAGGCCGCTGGCCACTGCAGCCTGCGTCCTTTCCCCAGACCTTCCTCTGAGATGCACCCATTGTTGCTGCGTCTACCTCTCCTTTCCCAAGTCCCGGAATTCTTCCCTTAAGAAGCAAGAGCGTGCTTGTGTTCACAGAAATCTGCCAAAAGCTTCCAGTATTTCTGTTCCACACATTTCCTGGTTAAGTCCTGGCTAATGATTTTCTTAGACTGATTTTACCCTCAGATGGAAATGGCAATAATAATAATGTGCTCAAAATGAAGAAAAGAAAAGTTAACCATTAGCCCTGCTACCTGCTGCCTGCCATGTAGAAGGTGCCAAATAAATGTTTATTGAATACATGGTTGAGCTCTAGAAATCAAATGGTTATTGGTTTTCATTTTTGAGAACTTTCTTTTGTTCACATGTCTACACAATTTTTATCAATTTATAGTAATGAAATTGGTCAAATTTTGCATCCCACTTTTATTTATACTAAACTTTCTGTCGTAAACAATTTTCATGTAGCTGTAGCTTTTTAAAAATGTTATTTTATTATGATAAGAACATAGGTACAATATGATTAATAATCATTTTAGTGACTATTTAGCATTTCCTCAAATTGCTGTATAGCTGTTTAAACAAAGAGCATCCCAACATCACTTGAGTGTAATATTTTGCCACTGTAGATACTATTATGATAAGTGCCTTCATACTTGTAGTATTTTTCTCTTCTTTTGGGTTATTAAAACATATAGTTTCAAAAATGGAATCCCTGAGTTAAAGAGTAGGAGACATTTTACACATATTGTATACAATGAGATATATATGTATTTAAAATTTGGTTGATCCTTTTTCCAAAAAGTCTTAAAGCATGAGTTAAAAAAAGAACTCTCCTTTACAAAGATAGCACTTGAGCCTCTTACTAAATGGATGAAGTCATTTAGTGACACTGAGTAGAAAAGAAATACTGTAAAGGAAAGACCTTCAAGAATAGGAATTGACTGGAATGAGCGATGGCTTCTCCTCTTTCTTAGGGAAACCCTCCACAAGGTAGTTCTTCACTCTAAAAATTCTCATTGAGTTTTAGGGTTGGAAGGTCACCTGGTATAGTCTTTACTAGATTGTTGAGAATATTAGAAAAGTGCAATGCAGTGCATTCACGGAAGCAAAATTAGAGTTAATTCATGTTTTGCTTTCTATGCAGAAAATATCAAGAGAATTTCTATGCAGATTTCAAATAATTCTAAATCATTCTCCAAAAAATTTTCCTCACAAAGAATATGTACCATTTTTATAAACCCTTAATAACCGTCATTTTGAGGGATCAAAGTGGTTGCTATAGAAAATAAGCACCTATTGAAAATGGCATTCTTAATTTGTTTGTCTTCCTAGAAAAAATGTAGAGATTACTTTACCTCGACAAAGAAAGCCACACAGAATTGGGTGAAGGCTACCATCAAAATTAAAACCCTCCATGATGTTATGGTTGGGATGAACTGTTGAAAAAAAAATACCATTATTATATTTTACATACTTTACACTTTGTAAAAAGACCATATTATTTAGTTTATATTGTCATAATAATTCTCTGAGCTTAGATGTGGGCATTACTTTGTCCCTTTACAGATAATACAACTGAAGGACCCAAAGCGGATAAGAAAATGGCAGGGCCAGAATTCAAAAAAGAATGGACTACCCTTGACAACCTAACAGTGTCTATTAAGAAATGTGCCCTGAGTCACAAATATGAGACAGGACATTTTGGAGGCTGTGTGTCTCTCTTCATTTTCATCTTTTCAGACAGAGAGAAGAAGGCTAAGATTAAATCATTCATCAGATAATATTAGTAATTCTAATTCTCCCAAAGCAAATCCTACCTGGATTTTACTCTTTATGGAGGACAGAGAAATGTAAGTATGTTTTGATTGAGACTAGATGCAGGTTGTTTCTGGCCGTATATCTGATGGCTAAATGAAAGTTGAATGAACCGTCCAAGTCCACCAGTTTTTAAAATTTAAGGGTACACATTGATCATTAAATAGACTTACTTGAAGTGTGAGAGCCACAACTTCCCATGGCTGCATCCATAGCAAAAAGCTAGTTACATAGCCTTTTTTTTCTGAGACCCCATCCAAGAGTAGAATATTTATGGCTGAGTATGTGTGGGACTGAACTCCCTTGAAAACAAAAACCACAGAACCTCCACAGCATCTAAATGCTCATCCTTAATTCTCACCCCTATCCTGATATGGGTCATTTCAAAATCATACTTTGTCATTTTTTTCCCCAAGTGGAGAGAATTTTTATCAAGTTGTGAATACCACAAACTGTAAAGGGTTGTTTGGATTAAAGGGTTGTTTGGAAAACCTGGGTCATATTCTAGCAGAGAACCTGGCTCTTTTTCTCACAGCTGCCACCACTCTGATCCAGGAGAACTGTTCTTCATCCCTTGACCTGGAAGGGCCTAGATTTTGAATTATTTGTTTATTTATTTAATTTTGACATGGAATCTCGCTCTGTCCCCCAGGCTGGAGTGCAGTGGCATGATCTCAGCTCATGGCAGCCTCCGCCTCCCAGGTTGAAGCCATTCTCCTGCCTTAGCCTCCAAGTAGCTTGGATTACAGGCCATCGCCACCATGCCTAGCTAATTTTTATATTTTTAGTAGAGACAGGGTTTCACCATGTTGGTCGGGCTGGTCTCCAACTCCTGACCTCAAGTGATCCACCCACCTTGGCCTCCTAGAGTGCCGGGATCACAGGCATGAGCCACCGTGCCTGATCCTGGAATTATTTATGTATGCAATGGTCTTCTCTCCTAACTTCTAAACTACCTGAGAGCACTGACCGCACCTTATTTATCTTTGTAACTCTGCTATCAAACTCTTGAGCTTCATGTTTGAGAAATAAATGATGACTTGGGTTTTCATCTCCTAATTGCTCTTCTCATCTCTCACATGTAGTCTTCCTGCCATCATCTAATTAATCTGTCTTCTCAGTGCCCTGCTGAGAAGCCTGCTCGGATAGCTTCATTCACTCCCTGTTGCACTTGGCATAAAGTCTAAACTTCTTTAGCTGACTTCATCCAGCCATGCGTTCCTTTATTATTCATTTTTGTTCATACTCCGCAGCCCATGGCCTCAGTTTTAGCCAGTCTTCTAGGGCTTGGGGAAGCCTTGCTTTTGATTTCTATCTCTGCCACCCTACATTCATTTGCATTTCTAAGAGAAAAGAAGCTCTTTCAGTAGTCTCTGCTTCTTAGGCTGTCCTTGCTGGGAATATCCCTACCTCCTACCTAGCAAAATCTAGCCTATCTTCTTCAAGTATGGATAGCCTCAGATAGCACTCAAGTATGTCTCATCTTCACAACAAATCTATGACTTGGAGGTCAGGAGCCAACTCTTCTCTTTCTTTTATTTCTCTCACAATACTGGGTTCAAGAATTAGTTCAATAACCTCTTAATGAATTAGCTTTTAACCCAGGGCATCCTGGATCAAATGTTATCCATTGATATAAAACTTCATATAGTCAATGTCTGACAAAACATAACTGTCTTATAGGTCTACTTTTTCTTTCCCTTTGTAACTACATTATAAAGGAATTCTACCATATGGTTTATCTTTTTGAAAATTGAACTTGGAGAATTATTGTATTATTGCATTAATTTTATTGTATTAGTATAACATGGCATGATAAAGTATTTATACTATTTCAGGTATGTACAGGATAAATGTACCCAATAATACTAATAATATGAAAAACATTAGAAGACAGTATATGTGAAATACATATATGTTATTTGCCCTTCTAGTATATAGAAATAGCGTCACAGTATTTGGTGGTTAAAGAGAATATGGTAATAATTGACTTGTGAATTACAATGGCTATATGGTCCATGTACATGAGTCATGCCAGATGTGCGAATGAATGCCACTTACCTCCATTCCATGGTATATAACTTGAAAGTCAGAAAACAGAATGAAAATTGTGAGGCCCAAGGCAGCTAGCAGCAGAAATGAAAATATATCTGAGGAAATACCAAACATTATTTTTAGATGTTAAAAGAATGTTTCATATAATTTGGCACACGTTGCAGAATCAATTATCTTTGTTGGGCAAATACCAGATATATCTTCAGATGTTTTGATATATCCTCGTATGTTTTGAAACATGCTCTAATGCTTATAAAATGAAGGTAATATCTTAGAATCTTCCCTTGAAAGTCAGATGTAGAAGACTGTTAATCAAATGTTTCACAGTAACCTCCACAAAGGAGCTTCCCTGGTGTACTATCACTGCATGTCTAGTGAGTTGTGCCTGCATGGGATAAACAGTCAGTCCTTTTGGCACCATCTAATTCTTCCTCGTTGCCTAAAGTTCACGGGTCCTGTATGACATTCAAGGCCTTCCACAATCTGGTCCCAATCAGTGTTTCTAACCTGATCTCTGACCACTTGTCCTTAGAAGCAATAGGAAAGGTAGACCATAAAACCTCCAGCTTCCATGGAGGCCCAACACTTTCCAGCTCCTGTGTCTTTTTTTTAAAAAAATGCCCAGTGTACATAATACTCTTTCTGTCTTGGCATGCTCCAACTTTTCTTAAATAACCCAGTTAAAATACCACTTCCTTTTCAAAGACTCATACTCCCTTACAAAACCTTATTTACTATAGCATTTATCATACTTTGCTTTGCATGATCATAAGTCATGTATCAACTAAACTGTGACCATTTGAAAGTGGCTTTGTCTCTGGTTCTCAGGAATTCGGTTTTGAAAAAGTAAATGAGAAATTAGCATGTACATCTGTTGTTGCATTCCTTCTTTCCAACCTGCCCAAACTGTTTTAATTTTGGGAACTAAACTTCCCAGAATGCACTGTGCCAATATCGCTGGTCTTATTCTCAACCTCACCCACTCCTCTGTCAGAGCATTTAGCAGAGAACTTTAGAGATGGTACCTTAGAAATGATATTTTTAAATAGAATTATCACCTTCAGGCCCAAACAATAGCATTTAATCAGTGTCGCCATGATACAAATGATTCTGATAATCCTATAAAGCTATAAATACATGAACAAACTGGGTTTTCTCTTACACTCTCTCTACCTTGTTTATTCAGTGTTGGTGGTCTACCCTCCCCACTCCCAACTCTCTATAGGCCTATACCAACCAGAAATCTCAGGCAACTGCCCCTTGACAGCAGACCCTATTTTTGAAGTGAACAGAGCTCTGTTTTCATCCTTGAGCACCCACGCCCACCCTCAATTTATTCATGCCCCACTTTATGTATATAAATAAATGCAGCACCTCTCAGAAGTGCTTGGGAAGGGTATGAGGCAGAGAGAAGAAAAGTGGGAATTACATCTCTCCAAATAAGGCAATCTAAATGGCCTGGTGATAAAATCCCAGGAAATGGCTATGTGGATTTTTCATTTACTTCATGGATTTGGAGTCCCAGGGACCCAGAAGCTGGGAAGAAGAAGATCCCTGAAAGGTCTGTTCTGATGAAGGCCTGGACTTCACTAGCAACTAGGGCTGCGTGGTGTGCACATTAGTGTCTAATGGTCTAAAATGCAGGCCTCTCCTGTGCACAAGTGAGCAATGTAGAGAGAAAATTATAAGGCCATCTTTTTAAATTCAGCTTCTATTGAAAAGATGTAATGAAGAGTTGAATGTTGGCTCTTGGTTAGCTGCTGCTGCTGAGAAAACGTGAAAGTCTAGGGCTCTGTTAATGCAGGTGCTTTAGGAAAGCAAGTCCTGTGTAAGCCATTATACCTTATTTTCAGATAAGGTTAGTAAATGTTCACACTTGTTTTCAGAAAAGTTAAGCCTCTACTTTTTCCATATCTTGTCATTATAAAGTTGAGCTTCTGTCAAAGGCTGTTAAAAACAGCAAAGATTTTTCTGTTATATCTAAATAAAGTTGCTCATATATTTTAATAGTAGTTCCAAAGGCTTTTGACTTATAACCTGAGAGTATATGTTTGTTATCATATTACATTTGTTAGCATATCTGTATGCTAAAATGTGAAATATTTTACATTTAAAATTATCAAGTTATGTTTGGTATAGGGGTTTGAGTTTACCCAGAAGCTTTAAGTCACTATGAGGTAACTAATCTACCTCTAATTCATTCAATTCATGTAAAAGGACTTTGCAGTTACTATTAAAATTAAAGTACTAGCCAACAAATATATCCTGCTTGTAAAATACATTTATAATTTTAAAAATATTAATGTATAACACTATACATTTCCTGTGTATTAGTGATAAACAGAAAATATAATGGGAAAGTCATTCACAATGTAAGGAAAAATATAAAATACAAAGGATTAGTTTTTTAAATAAATGTGCAGGCAGGATTTGTAATGGAGAAAACAACAAATATTTACTAAGCAGCATTAAAAAAAAGCAAGAATAAATGGGGAGACATGACGCATTCCTAAATGGGAAGATTAAATTATATACACATGTAAATTCTTCCCAAAGTATCAAAATCCCAAAGGGAACTTTGTAAAAGTCTGGCAATTTATTCTAGAGTTTATCTTGAAGAATGAACGAGAAAGAAAGAAACACATTTTTAAAAATGAATAATGAGGACACACTGATCTTACTTGTGTTACACTTGTTAAATAAAACTTATGATAAAACTGTAAGTTTTAAAGTATAGTGGTAAATCAAAAATAGACTAACATGTTAAAAACAGAAAAGATAGTCTGAAAACTATATATACATATACATACAAACAATACATAATATAAATTATGTACATAAAAGCTCATAAATATATATGAAGATAGTTATGATAAAGGTGGTATATTCAGTGGAAAAGTAATTAAATGAATATTAAAAACTCTATAGTCAACAAAAGCTTCTGGAAAAACTGGTTGGCTAGTTGGAGAAACTTGTTTTAATCCCTACCTCAAACTTTACACCAAAATTAACATTAGATTTTAAAAGCATCAAAAGAAACTTTAAAACTAAACATGATAATCTATCCCCCTTTATAATTAGAAAAAATTTTCTGTGCATCAAGACAATGGAAAAAATCATGAAAAATAAATAGCTTATACAAATAAATGAGAAACATAACAGCAATCCAACAGAAAAAAATAAGTTTAAAAATGTAAACACGCAATTCACAGAAGAAGAAATTGCTAACAACATGGAAATATGTTCCTCCTCACTGGTGATCAAAGAAATGCAAATTAAAACCAAATGAGACACTAATTTCTAAAAACCTTATCAGATCAGCACAGATTTTGTTTTTTTTTTAACTAGTATTTCATGTTGGATATACTATTAAGAAGCATACCCTCTCAAAAACAACTGATAGGAGTAAAAATCAGGACAAATTTTCTAGAAGGCAACTTTAAATTGTGTCTTCAAGGCTTTGACATTTTCACATTATTCCACCAGTTAAGTGAATTTTGTTACCCTAACGAAATAGGAGGCTAAGTCATTTACACAAGTATAGTTTTATAGCATTATTTATAATACTGAAGCCAATTGTATGATACACAGGGTGACCATCTTTGTCATGCAATATCTGGATAGGTATCATGTATCTAGTTTGCCTTGACATTCTCTGTTTAAGCCTGGCATAATTATTGGTAGTATTTCACTTCGCTCCTAAAGAGTGTCCCAGTCTGGTCAGTAATGATGGGGCATATTCTCTGGCTTCTTTGGCTTGAGGATTTTTTTTTTTTTTTTTTTGAGGCAGGGTCTTGCTCTGTCGCCCAGGCTGGAGTGTAGTGGTGTGATCCTGGCTCACTGCAGCTTCAACCTCCCAGGCTCAAGCAATCCTCTCACCTCAACCTCCCCAAGTAGCTGGGACTACAGGTAAGAGCCACCATCCCCAGCTAATTTGTAAAAGTTTTTTAAGAGATAGGGTCTCAAACTCTTGAGCTCAAGTGATCCTCCCACCTCAGCCTCCCAAAGTTCTGGGATTACAGGAGTGATCCACCACTCCCAGCCTTAGCCTGCGGATCTTAATTGCAGCTTTGAAGAGTTGTGTGTATGTGTGTTTTTTTTTTTAAACACTACTTAAATTAATATACTGGAGAAGTAAATAAGAATTTTTGAGTCCCTTTTATAAGTGCCAGACCCTTTACATAAATTGTGCCGGGCCCATTCCATAAAATGCTTTGTTCTTCTCTCAGGATTTAACAAATTAAGGATACTCCCTCCCATTCTGCAGATGAGGAAATAAGGTTATAGAATGGTTAGAGTAACTTGCCAAATGTTATAAGGCTAAGGAAGTCAATTTGCATTTGAATTGGTTAGACAGCCTTTTATAAAATATCTTCACATACATGTATGTGTATAAAATGATTCTTGATGACTCACAATAGGACAAGACTCATGTGACAGTTAAATAATGTCTGTGCTTATCTGCAAATGAGCAGATTTCTCCCATGGGCTCCAACAACTATGACAACTGCATTCAACAATTTCAGAGTCGTGCAATTGTTTCTTTCTCAGCCCATCATTTCACCAGTGAGGGGCAACTCTAGGGTGAGAAAAGGAATGGGAAGATATTCAGAAAGAAAAATCAAACTTTTATACTTACAGTTTGTATAGATGGGTTTTCGAAATGGCTTTCCCTTAGAAAAGATAAATGCTACTGTGATACAGTTGATGGTGGTGATCGGCCACAGTGTGGTACTCTCAAAACTTAAAATTGAGCCAGGAATCAGAGTTGCATTTCCAGTCCAGTTTCTTTCCAAACTCACATTTGTTGAAAAATTACTTTGGTTGGCCAGAAAACACTCACTACAAAAGAATCACCAGTGTTTATGAAACATCTTTTTCAATTTTTATCCATTAGGTGAAAAAAACTAGTTTAATCACTACCATGGGATTTTAGCTTTCAAACTATGTCAGCCAGTAACTACCAAGACCTATTTTGTTCACCTCTTGCTATGACAAAGCAGTAATAAAATTCACAGGAAGTCAAGATTGTTCTTTGTCCAGCACTTCATTTAGAACAAGTGATCTACCTTGAAAGGGCCTGAATGACAATTTTTATGAATTCCTCTCAATTCAAAGAGTAAATATACCAAGTCAATTAAGAGTGTGAGTGTGAGAGAGAGAGAGAGAGAGAGAGAGAGAGAGAGAGAGTGTGTGTGTGTGTGTGTGTGTGTGTGTGTGTGTGTGTGTGTGTTGTTCTCTCTTTCGTGGACTAAGCAAGACTCCTAACTTGGCTTTTGAGCTTGAGTCTCCCACTCCAATTTTCTTCCCTCACATAGCTAAAGGATCTTCCTAAAAATCTGAACATGACAATGACAATCTCCTGCTTATAAGGGGTCTACGACTCTATTTTGCTGATAAATTAAGCTCAAACTTCTCCAACTGGCCTATGAGATCTTTGCATCCTTGTCTCAATCTACCTTTTCAGCCTAACCTTTGTCACCTCTCTCAAACTTTATACACTCCAAACATAGGATTATTACCTGTTCCCCACATATCACAATTTGCATACCTGTTGGATTGGATGTACTATTGCCTTTAATGAGATGTAACATCCATCCTTCAAACATCTCTGCATCTAAAGTGCCTTTACTTTTGCTGGCAAGTGTAACTAGTGCCCACAAAAGTAACAGCATTTTTAAAATGTTATCTCAGTTCAAGGCAACAGCACATGTAAATAAAGAATTGCAAAACAATTACTTTTGCAAGCTCACTGTTTTGCATTTCTTTATTTACATAATTTTATTTTACATCTTTGGGATGTGAGTTCCTAGAATATGGGATTTTTCTTGTGGTTTTGTTTTTTGGTTTTACTCAAATTTACAATAAATTTTTGGCACCTAGCACAGTGAGGTCGCATCACATTTACTCAAAAAAATATCTGTTCAAGATATGGGCTTTCCTGGTCCTGATTGATCTATTTGCAATGTTCTTTTCTTTTCAATAATCACACCTATAAATTAGTTTCCACCAGCATTCTTGTTCAGCTTGAAATTTTTAAACGGCTATGACAACTATTTATAAATAAGATTCATTTTCTAACTGTAAACTCAAATGCAAGACTTAATGCTTATTATCCTGGGCCCCCTGTGGTCTAGAAATGTGTGTTGCACGTACAGACATACCTTGTTTTATTGTGTTTCACTTTATTGTGCTTCCCAGATATTGTGTTTTTTACAAATTGAAGGTTTATGGCAACCTTGCATCTAGCAAGTCTATTGGCATCATTTTTTAATAGTATGTGTTAACTCTGACTCTGTGTCACATTTTGGTAATTCTTGCAATATTTTAAACTTTTTGTGATAGTTACTACCCCTCTTACTCTGATCAGTGATCTTTGGTGTTTCTCTTATAATTGTTTTTGAGATGCCAAGATGCCATGAACCATGCCTTAAGAATGCAAATTTAATAAATAAATATTGTGTGTGTCTGACTGCTTCACCGGCTGGCTGTTTCCGTATCTCTCTTCCTATCCTGGGCCTCCCTGTTTCTTGAGAGAAAATCATATTGAAATCTGTTCAATTCATAACCCCGCAGTGGCCTCTAAGTGTTCAACTGAAAGGAGGAGCCTCATGTCTCTGTCTTTAAATAAAGAACTAGAAATGGTTAAGCTTAGTGAGGAAGGCATGTCAAAAGCCAAGACAGGCCAAAAGCTAGATCTCTTGCACTAAACAGTTAGCCAAGCTGTGAATGCAAAGTAAGAGTTCTTGAAGGAAATTAAAAGTGTCATTCCAGTGAATACATGAATGATAAGGAAGTAACATGGTCTCATTGCTGATATGAAGAAAGTTTCAGTGGTCTGGATAGTGGAGCAAACCAGCTACAACATTCCTTTAAGCTAAAACTTAATCCAGAGCAAGTCCCTAACTCCCTTCAATTATTTGAAGGCGGAGAAAGGTGAGGAAGCTACAGATGAAAAGTTTGAAACTGGCAAGATATTGGCTCATAAGACAGACAAAGAAGGTGTCTCCATATGTAAAAGTTCAAGATGAAACAGCAATTCTTGATGTAGGAGTTGCAGCAAGTTAACCAGTTGATTTAACTAAGACAATTAATGAAGGTGACTATATAAATAGCTTTCAGTGGAAATGAAACAGCCTTCTATTGAAAGATGTCTTACAGGACTTTAATAACTAGAGAGAAGTCAATAACTGGCTTCAAGACTCCAAAGGAGAGGCTCTCTCTCTTATTAGGGGCTAATGCAGCTGGTGACTTTAAGTTGAAGCCAATGGTCATTTGCTATTCTGAAAATCCTAGGGCCTTTGAGGATTATGCTAACTGTACTTTGCCTGATGTTCTAAAATGGAATAACAAAGCCTGGATGACAGCACATCTGTTTACAGCATGGTTTACTGAATATTTTAAACCCACTGTTTAGAACTACTACCCAGAAAAAAAAAAAGATTCCTTTTAAAATATTACTGTTTATTGACAGTGCACCTGGTCAGCCTCCAAGAGCATTGATGGAGATGTATAAGGAAATTTATATTTTCATGCCTGCTAATATGCATCTATTCTGTAGCCTGTGGATCAATGAGTAATTTCAAATTTCAAGTCTTATTTTTAAAGAAATACACTTTGTAAGACTATAGCTGAAATAGAGAATGATTCCTTTATTGGATATGGGCAAAGCAAATTAAAAACCTTCTGGAAAGAATTCACCATCTAGATGCCATTAAAAACATTCATGATTCATGGGAGAAGGTAAAAATATCAACATTAACAGAAGTTTGAAAGAAGTTGATTCAACCCTCATGGATGACTGTTTGGGGTTCAAAACTTTGGTGGAGGATATAACTGTAGATATGGTGGAAATAGCAAGAGAACTAGAATTAGAAGTGGAGCCTGAAGATGTGATTGAATTGCTACAATCTCATGATAAAATTTGAATGGATGAAGTGTTGTTTCATACGGATGACCAAAGAAAGTGGTTTCTTGAGATGGAATCTGCTCCTGGTGAAGATGTGAACATTGTTGAAATGCAAGCAAAGGATATAGGATATTATATAAACTTAGTAGACAAACCATCAGCAGAGTTTGCAAGAACTGACTCCAATTTTGCAAGCACTGAGATGGGATAAAATGCTATTAAACAGCATCACTTGCTACAGAGAAATATCTCATGAAAGGAAATCAGTCAATGAGGCAAACTTCATTGTTGTCGTATTTTAAGAAATTGTCACAGCTACCTCAACCCTCAACAACTAATACCTCAGTCAATCATCAGTCACCCAGCTTGAAGTAAGACTCTTCACCAGCAAAAAGATTATGACTTGCTGATGGCTCAGATGATCATTAGCATTTTTTAGCAATAAATTATTTTAAAATTAAGGCATGTCCTTTTTTAGACATAATGCTATTGCACGCCTGATAGACTACAGTATAGTGTCAACATAATTTTATGTGGACTGGGAAACCAAAACTTCATGTGACTTGCTTTATTTCGGTATTCACTTTATTGTGGTGGTCTGGAGCCAAACCCACAGTATCTCTGAGGTAGGCCTATAGTAGCTGTTCTGTAGTCACAAGGCAGTTTTACACAAAGGAACAGACTAGATGGCCTGAATTACAGAGTTTAAAACCAAAGAGTATCTAGCCCGATATACTTACATTACAGGTAATAAGGTTGAAGGCGAGTATGGCACATCTAGTGACAGAGTCAGGAATTCTTAGAATTCCTGATTTCCCATCCATCCTCCTTTGGCTACAACATATTGCCTTCTGGGTTCAGTCAAAACTTGAGTTCTCTGAGTATATGCACTCCAGTTTTGGAAAAAATTTAGTTTTGAAACATAATGAGATTCTATATTCCTAGTTACACTTGAATTGCTGAATTTTTTAATCTAAATGACAATCTCCTCATTTGCTAGTTTTCAGTCTGTGTTTTACTGATAGCTGGCACTCTGTGGAGTGAGGGGCAGTTTGCGCACATCCTATTTCGAAGAGAGCAGCTCTTTTCCTGCCTTTTACCGACAGAAAGGCTTTGTCAGCAAAATAAAGCTTGAACCATCGGCACTATAGCCTACCTCAAAACATTAAAGCCCAGAGAGGTAAAGAGACTTGTCTTGAATCTAATGTTTCAATTCGATCAGAACAATGATACCATCAATTAACATTTTAATTTTAACATTCATTTGAAAAAAAAATAAGCAAATCTCTCTTGTATGTCTATATCAGGGGCCTGCAAACTACAGCCCACAGGCCAAATCTGATTCATCACCTGATTTTGTAGATAATGTTTTATTAGGCAACCACACCCACTTGTTTACCTATTGTCTGTGGATGCTTTTTTTTTAAGATGGAATCTCACTCTGTCACCCAGGCTGGAGTCAGTGGCGCATCTTGGTTCGCTGCAACCTCTGCCTTCCAGGTTCAAGCAGTTCTTCAGTCTCAGCGGGACCAAAAGTGCACATCACGATGCCTGGCTACTTTTTGTATTTTTAGTAGAGACGGGGTTTCACCATATTGGCCAGGCTGGTCTTGAACTCTTGACCTTGTGATCCGCCCACCTCAGCCTCTGAAAGTGCTGGGATTACAGGCATGAGCCACTGTGCACAGCCCTGTGGCTGCTTTTGTGCTGCAACAGCGGAGTTGACTAGCTGCAACAGAGGCCATGTAGTCCAGAAAGCCTATTTCCTATCTGGTCCTCTGCAAGAAATGTTTGCCAACCCCTGGTCTATAAAATATACAAACTACCAGGGAAGTCATATATTCATTCAGTCAACCAGTTGTTAGAGCTATAAATTAACAACCAATGTGACAGATCTCTTCCCACCCACTCCATCCCCCGAGTAGTCCATGGATTGACTGTGTTCTGTCCTATCATTTGAGTTTTGCAGCGTGGAGACACAATTTTATTAATTAAAAGTTTTAGGATATATGTTCAAGCCAAGTTATGCAATATCATTGGATAGTCATTAAATTGCCTTTTGAAAGGAGCACTAAGAAAATGAACTTACCTGTATTGGTAGACCTCACAATACCAAGGCTGCTGCTTCACATAGAGAAATGCACAGATCTGCACAATGCAGGAGAAACAGGAATTCAAAAATACTGACAGCAGTAAAGGGGGAGAAAGGAGCTGTCCTGCTGGTCTATATGGAGCCAGCTTTGGGTAGGCATGGGTTGAACTCACTGAAAGACAAATGCATTTTTTCCCATTACAATTTTATCATTGAGAATAGAAGGTTGAGACGCATATTATCTTGAGTCTGGCATTGGGATTCAGAGTAAGCAGACATGAACGGAAGATTTACACCTAGGCAAACACATTGCCTGGTGGCACATCCAGTTCTGCCAGTCTTTGTCTTTTCCACGCTCTGTCTTCAACTTCAGAAGTAAAAAATGGTGGGTTAGAAAGTTATGTAATCAATATATTTACCATATCACATGGTGCAAATATTTTCTCCATAACCAGACTGACCAGAAATTGTGTGTAAAAGACGGAAATGGCCTTCCACATGAGATAAGCAGTACTAGTATTACGTGTCAGTGACGACAGGAAAGTGGAGCGTTAGAATGAGGAGAACAGGGAGGAATATAGCTAGATTCATCTTCATATGTGGGATCATTAAAAAATACTCTGTTATGTATTCAGCCAACTTTCTCTGAGCATGTCAATGTGCCAGGCACTATGATAGATGCAATGAGAGGCTGAGCTCATTAGCTATGAGAGGACAAGCATAAAGACTGCAAAGCTTCAGTCCTAGTGTAATCCTACGAGGTCAGCTGTGAGGTGAATAAATGGAAGGCAAATGAAAACAGTAAGATTGGAAAGAAGAAGAGAGACAAGGTGGCCACCTGGAAATAAAAAACGTGACCTCCTTTTTACCTTTAGTGTTCTAGGCCTCCTCAGACCCAGGTGCTTTCAAGTTTCTGCTTTTAGATGTTTTGAGAATTATATTAAAGAACCCCCCTCTATTTTCTTGATCTAGTTTGAGGAGTTCTCATTGAAGAGGCTAGAGATGTAGCAAAACAAGCTCCCTTAAAGATGCCACTATACAAAATGGAGTCAAATTGGACTTCCAGGCATGCATTGCCCAATCAACATCCCTCCTAACTTCATCTTATTTTTCTTTTAGATTTTCTCTGTAATGCGTTATATTTTGTCTCTGTATGTTGCCTTAAAAGCTTGTGGGAACAAGGCAGGGTGTGTATAGATAAGTAAGTAAATATATTAAATATGTGATGGTATTGTCTCTTCTCAGAACTATTTCAGAGTTAAGGCCAAAAGCCTTAACCTGGAAATTTGGACATGTAAGAAGCCTTGATGAAAATACAGATGCTCTTTGATTTACAATTCAGCTATTTTCTGATAAACCCGTTGTAATTTGAAACCTTTTTTTTTTTTTTTTTTTTTTTTTTTGAGACAGAGTCTCACCGTGTTGCCCAGGCTGGAGCGCAGTGGTGCAATCTCAACTCACTGCAACCTCTGCCTTCCGGGTTCCAGTGATTCTGCTGCCTCACCCTCCCAAGCAGCTGAGACTACACATGCACACCACCACACCCAGCTAATTTTTGTATTTTTAAGTAGACACAGGGTTTCACTATATTGGCCAGGCTGGTCTCGAACTCCTGACCTCATGATTCACCCACCTTAGCCTCTGAAAGTGCTGGGATTATAGGCATGAGCCACTGTGCCTGGCCAATTGAAAACATTTTAAGTTGAAAATGCATTTATACTGTACATCTAACCTACCCAATACCACAGTTGAGCCTAGCCTACCTCAAACATGCTCGCAACACGTAATTAGACTACAATTGAGCAAAATCATCTGGCTACACAGTACAGTGGAGAGTGTCTGTTGTTTAACCTCATGATTGCTGGGCTGGTGAAGAGCTGCAGCTTGCTGCCACTCCTCTGCATCCTAAGAGAGTATCAGGCCACTTTCTTCTGAACGCACATCACTTTCGCACCACTGTAAAGTCCAAAACCATAAGTCAAACCATCGTAAATCAGGATCAGTGGTGATTTTACATTGATCATCAATTGTTGATGACTCCTAAGGGCTGCAGATAAATGTCCACAGTTCTCAGATCAGCAGTCAAGATTCTCTGTGATTTGGCCCAATTCACTTTTTCAATTTTTATCTCCTCCTGTTTCCTTTCACACACACTGCAGTGTGGTCACAGTAAAAACTCATAGCTCCCATTTATCAGCTTTCTCTTGCTCATGCTGTTTCCTTCTACTTGAAATGCTCTTCTTTTAGCAAAAGATATCTGAAACTTATCCATCCTTCCCATTTTGATGTAAATGCTTCCTTTTTCATGCATCCATGCCTAGTCTCCTTCTCCATTCTCCACTTCTATCTCTCCTGAACCCCAGATTATCAGAAACCATCTCTTCTTTCTCTGAACTCCCAAAGCATCTGCTGTTTTCTGCTACTCACTACTTTCAACTTGCAACTTATTTGTTCATATATGTGAATCCCCCACTAAACTCTAAACTTGAATAATCAGCCTTCTCATGCCTCAGGAACCTATGTGGCTAATACATAGTGAGAGATCAACATTTGTATAAGGGAATTTTGAATGGGGCTCTTCTTGTCTAGAGAATTTTGCTGAGCCTTATATTTTAGGATAATGAATTGCAAGTGACAATTTATTGTGAAGTGAGATTATCGCTGTGTCTCCATAGTACCTGTCAAGAGAGATCCCTATTGGATATTCAACTACAAGCATGCCTGTTCCTGCCCCATTCGCTGAATGCAGTCTGTATAAGAGAAAACTTATGGAGACTATCAAGCAATTCTTTAAAGGCAATTGTTAGGAGCAGTATAAACTGTGGTCTTCTTATCAGCTGCACTGCAACCCCGTGAAGGGAAGCCATAATAGCCATTGCTGGAGAGAGTGGAAGTGGTTTTAAGAGAGGATACTGGCCTTGTTCACTCACCTTCATGGTAATACCAGAGGGAAAGGGCAGGCAGCAGTGAGGGCAAGCTACTCATTTACTGTCTGGTAGGTCAAGTAGAAGCCATGGAAATTAGCCAGGCTAGAACTAGCTATCCTGAAGGGGTTTATCTACGTGGCAGCCTGCTGGGGTTGGAGGGTCCAGCAGTAGAAAAGGGCTTCATGGTATGTGCCATTAGGAGGCAGCCGCAGAAAGGAATCTTGAGAGGCAGAGGGAGAGAGCACCACCATGTCAGGGCATGGTCTAGTCCAGAGCAATCGACAGAGAATCTCTGATGAATTCACCAATGAACCCCCTGCCTATTGCCTGAATGTAGGTGCCTGCCATGTTTGAGGGCATTTGACAGGAGAACACTACATACTCCTACTTAAGTAAAAGGTCCTTTGCCTAGATTTTCTTCCAGGGTTTTTATAGTTTTGGGTTTTACATTTAAGTCTTTAATCCATCTTGAGTTAATTTTTGTGTAAGGTGTAAGGAAGGGGTCCAGTTTCAATTTTCTGCATATGGCTAGCCTGTTCTCCCAGCACCACTTATTAAATAGGAAATCCTTTCCCCATTGTTTGTTTTTGTCAGACTTGCCAAAGATCAGATGACATGTGTGGTCTTAGTTCTGAGTTCTCTATTCTGTTGATTTCTGTGTCTGTTTTTATGTCAGTACCATGCTGTTTTGGTTACTGTTACCCTGCAGTATAGTCTGAAGTAAGGTAACATGATGCCTCCAGCTTTGTTCTTTTTGCTTTGGATTGTCTTGGCCATTCATGCTCTTTTTTTGTTCAATATAAATTTTAAAATAGTTTCTTCTAATTCTATGAAGAATATCAGTGGTAGTTTAATGGGAATACCATAGAACCTATAAATTACTTTGGGCAGTATGGACATTTTCATGATATTGATTCTTCCTATCCATGAGCATGGAGTATTTTTCCATTTGTTCCTTAGTAAACTAATTCAAGAACAGAAAACCAAGCACTCCATATTCTCACTCATAAGTGGAGCTGAATGATGAGAACACATGGACACATGTTGGGGGACAACACACACTGGGGCCCGTTGGAGAGGGCAAGGGGGAAGGAGAGCAACAAGAAGACTAGCTAATGGATGCTGGGCCTAATACCTAGGTGACGTGTTAATCTGTGCAGCAAACCACCATGGCACATGTTTACCTTTGTAACAAATCTGTACATCCTGCACATGTACCCTGGAAATTAAAATAAAATTTGCAGCAGAAAAAAAAAAAGAGCTTAAAAATAAGTCCTTTGCTCTTGTTGCTCTTCTTCCCCAGAAGCAGGGGTGGAGAGTAGGTGACTCAAGGGAAGTGAAGAAGAGACCATGGCCTTCTCATCTACTGCTTGCCCCAAACACATAGGTCAGGCTTGATCTAAGGGAGGAAAAACTTTGAATTGGATGAAAATGTGAAATAATAATTATAGTATCTGGACTTTTCATATCTAAGGATAAGCTCATCTTAGTACTTAGACTTGACCGGGAAATGATCAGCCTGTGGGATGAGTAAGCTTGCAGAGATGGGAAGACAATAGGATGTTTGCAGGTAAAGGGTAAAAAACAAACAAAAAAGCACAGCTGATTTCTGCCTCTACTGTCTCCTTCACCAGTCTCCCCTGAGTTTAGCCCATTTACTAGCTACAGTTTGTTGAGTAATAATTAAAGTGCCATCATTCTAATAGAATGTTAGGCTTCTGGTCTATCATCACTCTTCTGAGGCTTTTTTCTCCCAGTGGTAATAACGGTCCCACTATGAGTCATCCCAGCACTCCCATAGAGCCCACTCTGAGAAGACTGAGTTTTCCAGGGCTACCAACTGGCATGAGGCTTAACAGGCTATTGCCGTAGGAAAGAGTTAAGCAGCCCCACTACCACAGGAGTCAAATCCATAACTAACATCACAGAATTCAGTGTGCAAAAGCTCCAGGTAACTTACTCAATGTCATATAGCAAGTCTAAGGCAAGACTAGAACTAGGAAGAACAGCCATGTTTTGGGGTATCTAATGACACCTGTCTACCTGTACACATTCTAATGCTCTTCAGGTGCTCAGAGAGCTAGTTAGTCTTCTCAAAAAGAGGAAAAGGAGGAGAGGTGATGTGTGATATGATTCACGTTGTAATGAATGCCCCATGTGTCCTGTGATGTAGTGCACACTCTACAGGCTTCATTGTATCTGATCCTCACAATTCTATGAGGACAGTTTGCCAGAGGTCCTGGAAACAGGCCACAATTGTCATTGCCTTCACCTCCATGCTGCTGCCTGAAAGCTTGGTTCCTGAAATCTCTTGGTGTTTTTTTCTCTTTTTAGCATCATTCAAAAACAAATCATGCAAATTGCTTAAAATATTCAACACCGTAGAAGCAATCTGATTGATTCAAAATTATTCAGTCATAAGAATATTAATAACACGTAGAAAAATAGTTTAATAAGCTATGAATAGACATTTCAACCCTAAGAATCAAAATGGATATTATAGTGCTTATATCTCTGATACTGATAAATTTAGTCATTGGGTTGATACATAAAACATATCAGTTTTATGTATTAAGATACTACATGAAATTCTCAAGGTTATTAATATCCTGCACTGCCTGATGTTTTACCTGTTATTTTTCATAACATGCCTATTGTCGAGCAAGGAAAAAGAGATGACAATGCCATTCTTTTTCCTTCCTCTCTGGTGAGGCAGTCACCTTTCCCACTTATTAAGAGTTAGCATCAAGCCCTGAGTTCCTTGATAGGAAATACTTTATCAGTGTCATCTCAAAGGAAGGAAATGAGCAATAGCTGCTGTTGTAAGCCACACCTTGACTTTGGAGAATTCTACTAAAATAAAACGTTAGCATTTGTTCTCACACATCAAAGACCTGGCAAAAATCTGGTTTCACATCAATGTGAAGCATAGCTGAATAATGGAAATTGACCTTTGGGTTTTAAAACATTCTCTTTCTAGATTTCTTATTCATTTTTCTATGTATAAGACATAAACCTACAAAGAACTCAGACTACATGGACAATTTTTTGAGACTAAGACCTGTTTGTTATCAGAATGTTTTAATGCCAAGTCTGAGGATTTCAACTCTCAACTTATTCCCAACATCACTTTTAAAAAATTCGTAAATAATGAGGTTTTAGAAATAAGGGTGCGTCTTTCTCAAAAGTTCCTTTTTGTGTGACTGTTTCTAGAATTTCATAGATAAATAAACAACAATACAGTTTACTTTGCCAAAGAGCTTACTTGTCAAACAGACCATCAAAGTAATGGCTACGTCTTGCATGAGATACTGGTAATTTCCAAAGAGTTGTAGTTGCTGAAAAAGAAACAAAAGCAAATATAAATGTGGCATCTGTCAGCATAGCCTTTTTCTTATTCCCTACACTCTTTTTAAGTAGTTAGGAGGCAGCTGTTACTTTGCTTTCCTCTTCAGGAAGAAAGTGACTTACCTAAAATTATTAGCATCTCAGGGCTGGAAGACTACTTTCCCTGCATTTAATTTACTTCATAATAGTGACAAAAGTCAATCATTTGAGAGCCACGCTCCTATCGGGTGCATTAATTACCTGACAGCTGTGGTCTCAGCCTAGACAGTTGAATTCTCAACATAAGATAATAAAGCCTGAAAGTTCCCTTAGAAATGTTAGACTTAAAATTTGAAGTGAAGGCCCAATTCATTCAACAGGTGTTGCTCTCTATCCTTACCCATAGGATGAGTTTACAACGTAAGTCTCTTGGAGTCCATTCACTTTCACAAACTGAACAAGGGCTTCTTTCCTAAGCAAGCCCATTGCAGAATTCAATCTGGTACATCTGCCTATTTAAGGTTTGTGTAGACAGAACTTCTTTCAAGTTCACATTATAGAGCTGAAGTATTTAGGCATGAAAGTCAAATCATTACTCTCCAAGAACTTGCCTTGCAGTATCTCTTGCAGCCAGATCTGTTTATCTGTTTCATATCTGTTGACTAAGCACTAAACTATAAGCTGTTTCTGAGCACATTATGGACCAGATTTATGCACATGAAAAACATGGCTTCTTCTAGGCTGGCTTCTCAGAGGGTGAATCCAAGCCCCAGAAGGTACCAGGTTAAGGTTCTTCTGTGACAGTCTTTATTTAGGTCTAGACAACAAGAATGAATGACTTCAGAGTGGACTATGGTTTCTATCTCCATCCATGGAGGCCTTGGAAATGGAGTTCTGCTTTCACATTTTTGAAAGGCTGCCATTGGTTCCTCAGTGTCCCTGTCAACCTCCAGTTCTTCCCCTGTCCTCTTTACTTTTCTATCTCATATCCTTTCCCCTTCTTTTCATCTGAGAGTGGTAAAATTATACATTCAGAATGAGGTGGAGCAGGAAGAAATTTCCAACCACAGCTTTAGTTTTTCTTCTAAAAGCAGCTTTCATGGAACTATGGAGGGCTTTGAAAAACAGCTACCCAAAAGCAGGTTTTGGCCAAAGGCAAGACCTAATTTGTTTTTCGGATGGAGGAAGAACTTGAATCCAGGTTTTCTGACTCCCAGTCCAGTTCTTGTTTCTTTCCACCGGGCTGCCTTTGAGCCGTCTGCGAATGTTCCTTGCAAGCAATAGCCCACTGGATGGTATAATCTTGTGGACCTCTCATTCACTTCTCAAACCTCCCAGGAAAGCAGTAGAATAATCTCTCCTGAAGTGTTCCTTGAGCCTGCTGGATCATTTTCACTGTAGTGAAAGCTATGATTGGACTAATGAAGTTTATTTTTAGCTTATACATTGTTCTTCCGTACAGCTAATTAATTTTTAAATGGCTATTATCATCATTTAATTTTGAGTCTTTTTTAGTTTCAAATAATTCCTGATTCTTTACTAATAATACGTCTAACTGTATGAATTCTAGGTAGGTTCAGTTATAAGGGTCCATTCTGAAAAGCCTTTAGCATTCTAGTCCTTCAAAAGTAAATTCAACAACTTCTCTTCCTTTTTATCTCTTCTTAGTCTTTTGTTGAAAATATTCCACAACTGGAAACTCATTTATTTCCTGTTGAATTATATTTAGGCTGCTCTGAAGCTCTCTTCATACTCCAAAATAAGAAACACAGGTTTGGAGAGGTCAAGACTCTCAGGTTATCGAGAGAAAAACAACAATCTAGAAATCTCGTCTACATCTCCTTATTTCTAGTTCCATGTTTCATGCACAGTTAGACGAGGTTCCTGAGTTTGCAGACACCTATATTGAGAAATGTCATTTATTTATAAAACACTAAAATCCTGTGTAAGAGCTATACCCTGAATAATAAATTAGCAATATAAATGGAATTAGAACTGAGACAAAATGATTTTGGTTCATACCCAATAGAGCAGGGATGTACCGATAAACTGGATTATGCCATACATGGTCAAGTATTTGAATACCCCAAAGGATGAAACCAGAGCAGCTCGGCCTTCTCTGTTTAAAAATAAATAAAAATAATTGGTTATGTATGATAGATGTCTCCCAATTTCTTTTATGTTTAAAAGGAGTTACATTTTTAATAGCCTGCTGACGTACATTCACTTAATCATGAATTCACCCTCTCATTTATTTAACCACTCATTCATTCACTCTCTCCTTCAATCATTATGTTACGCATCGGTTCATTTACTCACTTTTGTTTAGGGCTTATGAAGTACAGCATTATGCTAACAGTCATACAGGATATAAAATGAATCAGGCACACTCTTCATTTTCAACAAGTTTTCAGTGAAGTGAGAAGACTACTATGTGTATTATAAACACAATGTAACATTATGATAAGGTGCAAAATGTCAAGCATTGACTTGCTTGTGACTCATTACATCTTAACAATAGGTGCTTCCTGGGAATTGCACTGTGTGTGCTTTAGAGGTCCTCCGAGACATAAAGCTAAAGGATAGGTGCTTTGACATTTTAGGAAGTGTGAATGTGACTCTAATATCTGAGATGAAATGGGTTACGTTGGCTTTGATATTGTGGGAAGACTCCAGGGTAATAATCTGAGTGGGCCATAAAGATCAAGAGATCAAGACAAAAGTAAAAAATGCAACTTAAAAAGTAGATATTCCTCCTTTAAAAAAATTCGGTCTTACATGTTAATGGTGTAACTGAGGATTTCTGAATAGTGGATTATGACATGTTAAAGGAAAACAATGTGAGGTAGCAGCACTTGATGCGGGAGTGGGACCTCTGCTAACCAGCTGTCCTGCAGCCTCCTCTTGTCAGAGCAGAAGCGGTCCACATGGGAAGTGACCCATATCCACTTCATTTCTAGTGCCCAGTAACATGGACACCTGCTCTGCTCAAAGATGTGGTCAACAGAACGGGGACATGAAAAGAAGAACCTAAAAGCCAAACTACTAACCACTTCATCTCAGGCAAAATAAGAAGGCTAGGATGGGAGATAGGCCAGGATACTTTGGGAAGATATTTTCTACCAAGCTGCGAGGTGCTGTCATTTGTTTTCAACACTGAAAATGGAGCAGAAGACAAGCTGAAAAAGGGCAAGCATGTGAAGTATGGATCCTTTTCCCAAGTCTGATATAAACATTGTGATTTCATTTTTTTTTTCTGCAATCGTGTATATTTCCAGGAAAATTAAGACACCCTGATTCAAAGGAAAGTATAAGAAACCATTCTTAGTAAAGGACAAATGGGCCTCCAAAACTACAGCTATTCCTAATGATTGTGAATTTTAAGTAGCTCATGCCTTTATCTCTGCATTCTACAAACATTCACTGAATGCTCTGATGTACCCAGCTTAGTGATAGGCATAATGCTTGATATAAAAATGACTAAGACACAGTCCTTTCCCTAAAGGACTTGAACTATAGCAGCAAGTAAATCATGTTTCAAAAGACAAAGATGAAAATCTGTGGATTTGAACCTATGCATCCAGAACTGTATCTCATTGCCTCTCTGGAGTGCTTTCTCAGGAATAAATATGCATTAAGGATAGAAAAAGTAAAATGGGGCTAACAGAGCTGAACCACACCTAATTTTCATAAATCTATGAAATATAAAAGCAAGTAGTTTCTACCCTGGAGTCTCACTGAGCCATCTGCCACTGGAGAAGTTTTACATCATTACTTGCATTCCGTAACAGGATACTGCATTCATAAATGCATTGGGTCACATGCATGAGGAGGAGCATCTGAAGTTCAAATGCCACTGCATGTTGAATGGATTAAGTAGGCACTTTGCACTACTATCCAGGAGGTCAAACTCCCTGCAAGGCCTCCGCATCCAGTTCTATAGCTTAACCCCCACAATTCCCATCTGAGAAGTCTTCTAGCCCAGTTGTGCCAACTGGTCTTTGCAATTCTCCAGTTACAACCCTGTGTCTAAACATGGCTGCCACATTTTCCCCACCTGGAATTCCCTCCTACCTCCTTTCTGTTTATATAAGTCTTATCCATTTTTCAAGTTGCAACTCCCCTACTGAAACCTCCCCTCCTGGCTTAAGTTCTCACATTCAACTGCCAGAACATTTGCTTTATTGTTTGGACATTAATTTATTTCAAGCAAATTTATTGAGCACCTCTCATGTATCAGACATTATATATATATAATTGTGTGTGTGTGTGTATAAAACATGCCTGATGCATGAGAGACACTCAATAAATAATGTATATGTGTGTGTGTTTATCTTTTTGCTGGAATGTAAGTTCTCCAGGGCAGGATTCTCTCATGCTTCACCACATTTCCAAGCACATTTGTAAAGAGCTCCATGAGTTGTACTGATGATGAAAAGCATAAAATAAGGTGAGGGTTCTGAGCGCTATCATTGTATACTCACCATGACACAAACCAAGGTTAAGACACTAGAGATATTAAGCAAAGGTCTTAGAGACACTCTGCAAAGATAACTTGGTAAAACATAATGTTTGTTTGGTTATGAGTGAAGAGGAAGAAGGAATTAAAAGTACTCTAAGGGTCTGAACCTCAACGCTGACTCTAAGGAGTAAATTATTCTTAGAAGCAGGGGACATGGGAATTGGGAAGAGGAGCTGCTTTGGAGGCAGGGGAAACGATCATGTTTGAGGATGTGAAAGGACAGAGATGCAAATGCCCAGTGTTCAGGGTGTTGTGTAAAACTGTCTTGCTGATATGCAGCCAGCCAGGAACATGGAAATTTAGACCTGCTACCTTTAGATCAGTGATTCCTGCCAGCGACCTATTTATTCTGGCTTGAGTTCCAAAAGACATGCTGGGGAACTTCATAGTTGTCTTTTTTGTATGAATATTAAAATCTGCTGATGTTTTTCAGATCACTGCCCATGAAAATGCCTAGAAATTAACCCTAAGTGCTATAGGAAACAATAGAGAAATGATATTTATGAATAAAACATAAAACTGGGTGTTTTGTTCTTAACTACATTTAAAATATAAGTAGACATGAGATCAGAAGTGAGAGTGGAGTGGAGGTGAGGGAAGCGTACTGTGAAAATAAACGTCTCTTAATGTATTCCTGTATTTGTCCATTTTCACACTGCTATAAAGATACTACCTGAGACAGGGTAATTTATAAACAAAAGAGGTTTAATTGACTCACAGTTCCACATGGCTGGGAAGCCTCAGGAAACTTACAGTGGCAGAAGGTGAAGGAGAAGTGGGCATCTTCTTCACAAGACAACAGGAGAGAGAAAGCACACAGGGGAAACTGCCACTTTAAAAATCATCACATCTCATGAGAACTCCCTCACTATCATGCAAAGAGCATGGGGGAAACTGCCCCCATGATCCAGTCACCTTCCATCAGGTTACTCTTTCAACACGTTGGGAACCATAACTCCAGATGAGATTTGGGTGGGGACACAGAGCCAAACCATATCACTTCCCTTCCCTGACACTGCCAATCAACTGTAACATCTTTTATGTAAAAGATATTAGATATTTACTAATTTGCATTTTGGAGACATGTAATAGTATTTAGAGAAGCTATCTAATGAAGTATTTCCTTTCTGCTTCCTCATCCCAAACTCCTGAGAGAAATGTTAGGGGAAGCATCCAACATTTCAAATAAAGGAGAGAAAAATTGAGAAATACCATCAGTTTTAAAATATCAAGTCAAGCCTTCAACTGTTTACATGATACCTACCTACCCTTTAAGGCTCAGCAAAAGTCACTTTTCTGTGGCTTTTACCAGCACTCTCAGGCAACACTAATGGCCCCCTTCATTTGTTCTCCAATAGCACTTCACCCATACCTCTGTTGCAGAAATTATTACTTTAGGTTGTAGTTGAATTCTGTCTGTCTCCAGAGCTAGACAATGGGCCCACTCGTGTGGGTAGAAGAGGAAGAAATGACTTACCTGATGAGATGAGGCACACACTTGATGTTGGCCATTTTAGAAGTAAAAGGGGATGCCACAGATGCTTCGTGCTCTGACAATGAAATGCCTGCATGAGCCACTTTCAAAGCCTGGAATGATAAGCCCCCATGACTTTTCAGGCTAGGCTTTACCTCTTAAAACACCAAGAGGCTGTTCTTCACAACACAGAGGTTTAACACTATACTTTGTCATCTTTGGGTCTCAGTTTATGCTCTCCCTCCATCTGGAGTATCCTCTTTCCCCTGATCTACACAGTCACTAACTAAACAATGACCCAGAGGTAGAAGAGTTGTGTGTGTACAGGCATGTGTGTGAGGATGTGGGTGTGTGTGTGCAAGGCCCTGCCTGTGGGAATATAGATGTGATAAGGAGATGGAAGCCCTCATTCAAAAAGTCAATTAAAAAGATGACAGAATTTGGATGGACTTTGGTTAGGGACCTTTACCACTTCAGTTCTTGTACTTGGCAGGAGTCTTCATGAACAAAAGTGAAAGATAGAATACCCACCTTTTCCTAGTCTGATCCTACAAGAATTGTGTGGGCATAAAATGAAATTTGATCTATCTGTAGTTCCATAGACTACAGGGTACCTGGCACCATGAGCAATACATACTAGATTCATGTTTAATAAATATTATATTTCCTTCTTCTTTTCTCTCTTAGTATTTTGTATCTCTATGATATACTTTAGGATCATCTACTTTATGTTAGGGTTAGTTTTATGCATGATTTCTTTCTTCATCAGACAATGGATTCTTTAGAAGGCAGAGACTATGTCCCTTTTAGCATTTGATTTTTTTGTTTTATTCTAAACTCCACATAGTGAATGTGAAAGGATTACACATTCTAGATTTGAAAGAACAGATTAAAAATTAGCTTTTTCTCATTAAGCATAAAGCAAAAAATAAAATCTTAATAAATCTCTAATTATAAACAATTTTTACAGAAATTTGGAAATACTATTTAAGAGAGAAATAAAACAAATACTTAGATCTTAAATCTCTAATAAGCTCTGGAAATACAAAGAAATCTTCCTCATTTCTTGTCCCATAAATCAACTACTGAAATATTTCCTTGGTACATAATCTTGAAGGTATACTATTTGTTTCATTCATGTCTTTAAAACTTAGAATATAAAACATGCACTGCTCTTCTGCATATGAAAAATAATTTGCTGAGAATAATTTTATTTTTTCTGTAGCATAAAAATAACCAAATAGTTTGGTCTAGGATTTTACTGAGTGATAGAGTTCTGGGTGAAGCAAACTTTTAAAAACTAACCAGAGGAGGAAAGTTTGACAGGAATAAATATAATTTACTTATAATTCAAAACTTTAACCATCAGTTTCAAACTTTTTTCATTTAGTCTTTATCAGCTGTGTGACCTTGGTGGGGAGCAGGGGTAGAAATCACCTCCCTGAGACTTCATTTCCTTATTGATAACAGGAAAGATTTAAGCCAGCTAGGCTTGTAAAGTTCCTTCTTTGGAACCTGAAATATGGGAGTCTAAGTCGCCTTTCCTTGTTTTCATTATTCTAGGAGTTTCCAGAAAGCATCTGAAGTGTTTCTTCTCCCTTTACTCCCCTCCACTTCCAACCCACACTCAGGTAGAGGTGGATTTAAACAGCAAAATAATGAAATCGTTGCTGGTGGAAGGATGAAGAGATACACCCCAGGAGGCCACGAGGTCCTCGAGGGATATTAGTGAGCTGCCTGCCTTAGCAGAAGTCCTTTCTACTCACCCCACAGTCATTAGCTCCATCTCCACACATGCCCACATAATAACTACAGGAGACAGGATAAGAAAAATTAGCAGGTAAGAAAAGTTAACACCTCACTTGAATATTTTCTGTCATAATTAAGTCACATGTGATTTGCGTGTATGTGTGTGTCCCCTGAACACACTTGGGAGCAGGCTGAAGAAAAATGGTTTGGAGAGACATATACTCAGAGGGAAATGTCTGAGTATATGTCTCTTAAATAATACAATGGATATTATTTAAGTCATTTCAATCAATCACTTTGAACTGGCAGCGATATCACCAAGGACATCATCAGAACAGTGATCGCACACTTCAAAAGAAGTCCTGCTTGATTATATGCACCAAGGCCAAGCAAGTATGCAGTCATGAGCAGAGCACTTCCCACACAACCTAATGCAGAGATCATAACCCAATCCAGCTGTGTTTTAGTGGTTGACTGTTGCTGAGCATTTCAAGTTCAAATACTAGGATGAGAAATTTTAAAAAATAGCTTAATAGATATAACTAGAGACATATACTCATATTTTGTATTTATCTCAGGGTAAAAATAAGATACTCTTTCCATCTGTATCAGTTTGGTGTGCAAGCACGATAAAAATAGATGAGTAAAAATTAATACAACTGCCAAAGAAAAGGAGTTTCAGATGTAAGACACTGCCTGCCTTCTATTGTAAGTAATGCATTATAAGTATTAATAAATGACAATACTGTTAAAGACTTAGCTGCATTTTTCTAAAAACAGAATTACAAAATCAATAAGGAGAAAAAATAAAGTTTCCTTAGAATTTCCTTATTATTAGTTAATGCATAAGAAATGACCACTTTTACAGGTCAAAATAGTCCAATGTAGACAGACCCCTATGGTTCAATCCGATATGGGGTTGTTAGATGAAAATCATGCTATATATGGCCATGTCATGAATACCCACAATTGTTGAAAAATAGATCCTCTTTTTCAGGCTCAAAACACACCTCTAGTCTCTATATCACATCAGGAATCTTACATCTTCTAGTATTCCCTGAACTCAGAAAGAGAATGCAGGCAGCCTCATGCACATTGCCAGTGAAAAAGGCATGAGGAAGAAGGTTGGGATACCGAGAAGACAGCTCATTCTGAGACAGTAGGTGTCTTCCTGACTTGATTTTTTAAGGGGAAGACAGCTTTTCAAAATTGGGCATTTTAGTTGGCGAAATTTCTCAGGCATTTTAAAAAGGTAAAATTACTTTCTTCAGCAATATCATATAATGCTCATGGGAATGAAACGGTCATTTTAGTCACTGGTTACTTACCCAGCCTCAGGCATTCTGGAAGTTAATAGGCAGGTTTTGAGACTTCCCTATGAATGGTTGAGTAACAAAAGCTGAAAGTAAAAGGCTGTCTCCTGATTTCAACAACTACTTAGCAGCTATCATCTAAAGATTCACCAGCCTATGTTGCTTTTCACTTTCTAGAACTGTAGCCCCAAACTGCAACGTTCTCATCAAGCAATAGGTAGATCTGGTTTCAAGAAGTACCATTTCACTATAATGTAACTTGGTCATCTTTATTTTTGAAGGGGGTAATAAAGAACTTTCTCCTGACTCTCCCTACTGGAGCCAGATAAAGTGAAAATGCTATTCCACCTCTCACTAAGAGGACCAGAAATTATTCACATATCTTCTAAAGGACCAACCTAAAATAATTCCAGGGTATAACTCACCTACTTCCCCATTTTTTTCTGATTCTGAGCTATACAACCTGCCTCATCGTTTCCACTACATCCAAGCAGGGTAGGGTTCTCTAAGATAGATGCCTTATGAACCACAGAACAAATGAACAAATGCTCTCTGGGATAGGCAACTTCCAAATGGCCCTCAGTGATTCCCAGCTCCTGGCATCTATGCCCTTGTGTAATCCACTCCCCTGGAAGTGGGCTAGATCTAGTGACTTGCTCCTAAGGAAGGGAATACAGCAAAGGTGATGAAATATCACTTCTGCAACTGGTATATAAAAACAGCAACATCCGTCTTGCGTGCTCTCTCTGTCTCTGGTTCTTCTTGCTCACCGACTCTGTTAGAAGTCAACTTTCACACTGTGAGCTTCCTTATGAAATGGCCCCTGTCACAAGGAACTGAAGCTGTCTTCTGTACACTAGCCAGTGAAAAACTGAGGTTCAGTCCAACAGCTCATAAGGCACTGAGCATTCAACAACATGTGAGTGAGGCTGGTGGGAGATTTTTTACCCCACTCTAGCACTGATTGATTGTAGTCATGGCCAACACCTGATTACACCTTTGAGCAATATCCTGAGTCAGAAGACTCAGCTAAGCCACACCTGAAATTTTTTTGATCCTCTTTTTTTCTAACATTTATTTTAGGTTTGGGGTACATGTGCAGGCTTGTTATATGAGTGAACTCGTGTCATGGAGGTTTGTTTTACAGATTATTTCATCACCCAGGAATTAAGCCCAGTACACAATAGTTATTTTTTCTGCTCCTTTCCCTCTTCCCATCCTCTGCTCTCAAGGAGACCCCAGTATCTGTGTTTTCTTCTTTGTTTCCATGTGTTCTCATAGCCTCCACTTATAAGTGAGAACACATACTATTTGATCTCTGTTCCTGCATTAGTTTGCTAAGGATAATACCCTCCATTTCCATCTGTGTTCCTGCAAAAGTCATAATCTCATTCTTTTTTATGGCTGCATTGTATTCCATGGTGCATATGTATCACATTTTCTTTATCCAATCTGTCATTGATGAGCATTTAGGTTGATTCCCATGTCTTTGCTATTGTGAATAGTGCTGCAATGAACAGTCACCTACATGTGTTTGGTTTTTTTTCCCCCTCCAAAGCTGAAATTAGAGGACAAAGATTGTTAGACAGAAAAACCTGCATCTGTTTTTATGGTAGAATGATTTATTTTCTTCTGGGTATATACCCAGTAATGGTATTGCTGGTTCAAATGATAGTTCTGTTTTAGCTCTTTGAGGAATTGCTATACTGCTTTCTACAATGGTTGAACTAATTTACACTCCCACCAATAGTGTATAAGTGTTCCCTTTTCTCTGCAACCTTGCCAACATTTCTTATTTTTGACTTTTTAATAATAGCCATTTGACTCACACCTGATTATTGACCACTGGTCAATAATTGGTGTTATTTTAAGCCAATTCTAAGCCACTATGTGGCTGTGAGTAATTTGTTATGTGTGATGGTTAATGAGCATACTCTCTCCTTTCATGCAATGACACCTACTTTAATTTCTGAAATTCTTCAATAAGGCTTGATTTCTGCCCAGGAGACATTCTTGCAAAAACAGTTCCATTCACCAGAATCTAAAAAGAAAAAACCACCATTACAATATGATTGGGAAGAATAAAACTTTTAAAAATAAAAGAACAGCCCTGAAAAATCACTCCTGGTTACTAATTTAATATAGCATTGGATGGGTATGTCATTAGACCAATACCAGGAAGGGAAATATGGAGATTTAATGCTTTAATATTGAAATGTCTCTTTAAGTCTTCCATTACAACTCTATTACATTTCTCCCAGACCATTTTTCCAAGATGGGGTGAGCACTAATCAATAATATTACAGTAACTAAGAAGCAGCCGAGCATATGGAATAAAAATGCTTGAGGAAACAGTTCTTTTCTAACAGACACCACCTCCATAATCATAGCACAGACAGAGGAAAGCTGGAAGTTGGGAAACAAGGCTCTCTTCTCAGCTGTGCTAGCTAGCTGTGCACACCTTAGACAAGTGACTTAATCTCTCTGAGTCTCAGCTTTCCCTGAACTGAAGTAAGAGCTTTCTAGAAGCCTTTGGGGTCTAGATTCTGTGGTTCTTAGCTGGTAAGATGACAGAATTTTTAAGACACTGCTAACAGTGCTGCCCTCCCCTTGTGCTCCATTAATCTCCCGCACATTGACAGCACAACCCTGCACAGCACTATTTTAGAACAGGACACTCAGAGGACAAGATAACAAATGATTCTGAAAATAAACCATGGGGCCTTTGTTTCCTCTTGCTGTAATTTAAGAATCCAGACAGGAAGGGGAATAGAGCTTAGCCTGACATGAGCTGGAAGGTTTCAGGGAGAAGCTGGCCTGCAAAACAAGCAGTGTGTTTGGAACTCTGTCATTCTCCTGCGTGGGGAGGGAAAGAAGGAGGAAGGCTGAGATTGAACTGACCACAGGAGTGAGAGAAGGTACCAGCACTCAAACTCTGAACAGGAGGCTGTGGGTTTGCATAGGACCAGTAGGCATAAAAAAGGCCAGAAAACATCATCAGGAGCTATGCTCCTTTGCGGGTGTTTATTCTCTAACTGGGAGGCAACCTCTGTGGTCACTGATTTCAATACTCCCCGCCTCCTTTCGCCTCACTAATTTGAGGTACAAAACAAAAATGCTTCATCTCTCCAGTACTTACTTTTGGAAGCAGGCTGTTGAAATGCTGAAATATCACTTGGTATGATTTCCCACTCATTGCAAAATGGTAGCAGCTTCCTCTTTCCCCACCAGGCATTGAACTGTTTCCAGTGTTAATGTAGGTTTCCTAAAATCAAAAGAGCATCACTCCTACATTAACTCTTAAGGAATGTCTCTGCTTCTCTATGCTTTATTGAAGGAAGAGTTTTCATATTGCTTAACAGTGTTAAGGTCAGCAACAAAATAATGTTTAATTTGTCTACAGCACTTCTACCCAGAGAAAGAAAAACACTCAGAACATTCCCCCCAAGATTATGTAAACATATGATACTTTGACGGTATGGAACTCTGGATCCCATCTTGGGAGATAATATGTATGACGTCAGTCTGCTGAAGAAATCTATTCCTAGGTCCCAGTTAATTATTACAAGTAAGAACAGGAAAATTCTTCCCTCTTCTTCCTTCTTTTCCTCATGCAACCTTATATTTTCTAAGATCTCTTACCATTTATTTGTTCGAAAATAACTCTCATTGTCTTCACTGTAAATTAGGCACTCTTTCTTCAGTGTCTAACTCCTTTTAGCATGCAGCCTCTGACCTTTGTTATGACCCTACCTCAACAGTAACCCCTTCTATCATGGTTCCTAGATTCTCTTCCATGCTCTACATCCAAAGCACCAGGAGTACTCCTTTTCCAAGACCCTTTTCCTCCTATCTTTCACCTGTCAAGGTATTTATCTGGCTTTGTTCTAGCCCTACCTGGCTCCCAGTTAGGCAGAAAGCATCTGTTGAATGCCTGTGCATTCATTATATCAACAATTAATCATGGTTTTTTCATGCAATATTTCTCAGAGAGCCTTCCATTTGTGTTTAGGACTCTAAATTCAAATAGTACAAGAGGTGAGAAAATTTTACTCATCAGAGGTCTTCATCTCAGAGAAAGCACTGTATGTGAAAGAAAAAAAAATTTGCTGTGCCGAATTGGGAGGCAAGATGACACATCCCTCCTTTCTATCCCCAGTTGCAAAATAACCAACAAAATACATGTTCTAAAGCATCCCTTCTCAGGTAAGGGGAGGAATTCCTTTTGCTTGCACTAGAAATGTGGGGAGGCGAAGTATGGTGGAGGAATCCAGGGAGGAGGAAGGCCTGAAACTGTGATACAGCTTCTCCTGGTGGGGACCAAAACTTCCGTAGAGGCGTTAAACTCATGAATGAGTAATGTGAGTGGACTGTTAGCTGAAATTCACAAAGGACTTGAGTTACAGCATGCAGTGAAATGCAGGCAGCATGCACCATGGCAGAAGCAAGTAGGTGCGCAAGGAAATAAGCACCAGAAATCTGAGAGCAGAGACAGCTATCATCTTTCACAGCCCATGCAATTAGAGTTTGAGGTAAGTTAACCCATCTCTTCCCAGGGTAGGGGCAGGGCCACCCTGTACAGCTGTGCAGTTTGTGTACTGCACAAAGACTCCTGACTGCATGAAGGCCAACTCTATACTTAACAATCTGAAAGCCTGGAGGAAGGCAGCATTTTTGTAATTCATCTCCTGTAGGGCCATCTCTTTGAAGTCACAGAAAAGCATGGGTGTTACCTTTAGTGATGGAATGTGAGGCTACAGCCCATTGTCGTCATCTGAAAGAGCTCTTCTGTCACAAGAGCACCAGGAGCTTTCTATCTAGAGAAGCCCAGTCTCTGTTAGCTTCCTGCCATAGGTATAGTACAATCTAAATGTCCATGGATCTGTGTGGAATCAAAAACCTAAGTCTGCTTTCCTGCTCTGCAACTCACCAGTTTTTGTATTGGGCCAGCTTACTTCTCTGAGCCTCAGTTTTCTCATTTGTAAAATTAATGGCTTGCCCAATTGCAGAGGGTTATTTAATGACCAAGTGGAAAATGTGACTGTAAATCAGTAGTTCTCAGCCATGACTACACACTGGAATCGCCAGAAAAGCACCTGATGCCAGCTCCCACCCAGGGGTTCTGATTTAATTGGTGAAGCCTGCATTGGGAAGCTTAAAAACTCCCCCAGGTGATTTTAATAGGCAACCAGAGCTGGTGGAAATGCTTTGCAAACTGTAAAACTCTGGACAAATGTGAGGGATTGACTTCTGGAGTTGAGAGAAGGCTGTGCAGTGCCAGGATTGTATTCCATCAGTCTAGGCCCACGGAGGGGCCTCCTAACGTTTGCTCACTTTCTTCCCAGGTCCCGTCTCTTGGTTCTCCACCAGCTGCCAGGTCACAGAGGCAGGAACACATTCTTCTGGCTCATTGGCTTCAACAATGATCACTTGGCTGCCTTGAGGGATCATTTCAGAATTCTTTGCCACAGTAATGGCTGTTTCTAGGTTGTCACCTAGAAGACAAAGAAACTTTCCTTGCTTTATGTACAAAATTCCCCTCAGCAACAAGAATTGAGGTCTCCCTTTCTCACTTTGCTTAGTGTTCTTTGGTGGCATTTACTGCTTTCTGTCTTATTTTATTTTCCTCCCTGCTGTAGACTGCCCCTAGTGGGCAAACACTATGTTCCCATCTCCCGCTCACAATATACTAGCATCACATCCTGCCCATGTTTATTTCTTTTCTTTTCTTTTCTTTTTTTTTGACAGAGTCTCGTTCTGTTGCCCAGGCTGGAGTGCGGTGGTACGAGCTTGGCTCACTGCAACTTCTGCTTCCTGGGTTCAAGCGATTCTCCTGTCTCAGCCTCCCAGGTAGCTGGGACTACAGGCGCACGCCACAATGCCTGGCTAATTTTTTGTGTTTTTAGTAGAGATAGAGTTTCACCATATTGGTCAGGCTGGTCTCAAACTCCTGACCTCAGGTACTCTGCCTGCCTCGGCCTCCCAAAGTGCTGGGATTACAAGCATGAGCCACCATGTCTGGCCCCTTTGTTTATTTTAAAACATACGTGAATAAAGAAAGAAATGTTTAAGCATCTATGACTAATCTTTAAAAGACAGACAACTCGTAGTAATGAATATAGTGTGAACTCAGTCTGATAGCCTAAAACCATCAATGGGATCTAGAAACCAACAAAGAACACACAGGGTCAGGCTGAGCGTGGGTTTGATGGTCATACACCGTGCCTGGCCCTCCTGCCCTAGAGAACCATCAACAAGAGACTCAATCCTCTATGCAGAGGGATCATTGGGTCTCTTGATGAGAACACACCCATTCTTGCTCATTTACAGTGAGCCTATAGGTACTGCACAGATCCTGGCCAGGAGGGGTAATCATTAGACTAAGAGAATGAGATACCACCATTCTACCACCAAAGCTTCTGGTCCTGTCAGGGGAGGTGCACATATTTTCAGGTAAGGGACTACAGGGTAACAAATTCGACAGAGAACATTTTTCTCTGTCTCTGTCACGTGAACTCACTCAGCTCACACACCTTGTTCTTATGCCTGGGTTGCAATCAACTTGCCAGGCCCCTAGAAACAAACACATACCTGTAATCATCACAGTCCTGATATGGGCCTCGCTTAGTTCCTTCAAGACTGGTTTGGTTTCTTTTTTCAAGCGATTCTCCATGATGAGAAGTCCCAGAAATGTTAACTCTGACTCCACTTTTTCTCTTTGGATTCAGGAGAAAATCAATATTAAAGTATACCTACATAGCCTCAATAGTTCAATTTATTTCTTCTTTTAAAATTTTCTTATAATTTTTATTAATGTAATACAGCACATTTTAAAAATCAAAATGAACTTAAAAGCTTATAATGAAAACCAACAGTCTGTGTCTCCACACAACCTCACCCCTCTCCTTCCTAGAGCAACCACTTCTAAATTTGTTTTTTCTAGTTTTCAACTTTATTTTTAAAAACAGTGTGCTTATCTTCCAACTATTCTGTTGGTTTTTAAATATAATGCTAATCAAATATATTTATTTGTTAATTTCTCAGAGCTTTCTCTTTTTTGAGTTTGCAACTGTTTCAGCTTATTTGGCATTTAGTAAGTGCATCCTGCATACATACAAGATACTACAGTGGTAGCCGTATATGGTGTCATTCATCTTAGCCTCTTTCTATCACCTTCAGTAATATGTGTTGACATCAGACAGGGCTCTGAACAGTTTTCAGAATTTGAAGTTGGTGGCTTATAGTCTAATTGGGATGCATCAGTTACACAGGACTTGTCCTCTGAAATGGAATGAATCTTGGGTGGCTTTTTAATAAGTGGATTTGGGGGCCAAGAACTCTTTTTTGATCCTTCATTGTTCATTTTTCTGTGCACTGTGGTGTTAAGATTACAGGGAGATAGATTTGAACAATATACATACAGCTGTGAAGCCATTACTGTAATCAAGGTAATAAACATCCATCACCTCAGAAAATTTCCCTCAGCCCTGTTTTGCATGTGTGTGTGCATGCACATTAAAATCACTTTTCTAGAATGTATCCAACTTGCATAACTGAAACTTTATACCCATTAACAACAACTTCCTATTTCCCCCTCCCCTTAGCCCTTGGAAATCACCATTCTACTCTCTACTTCTACGAATACGTCTATTTCAGATGCTTCAGATAAGTAGGATCATACAGTATTAGTCCTTCTGTAACTGGCTTATTTCACTGATGTCTTTCAGTTTCATTCACGTTGTCTCATATGGCAAGATTTTCTCCTTTTCAAAGGCTTAATAATATTCCATTATATGTATATACTAAATTTAAAAAATCCATTTATCCACTGATGATCATTTAGGTTGTTTCCGTATCTTGGCTATTATAAATAATGCTGCAATGAACTTTAGGGTGAAGGTACCTTTTTTTGAGATCCCAATTTCTGTTCTTTTGGATATATACTCAGAATTGGGATTTTGGCTCATTGGATCATATGGTCATTATATTTTTAATTTTTTAAAGAACCCTCACACTGTTTTCCATAGCCGCTGTACCATTTTACAAAGGTTCCATTTCTCTATATCCTTGTCAACACTTGTTTTCTTTTGTTTTTGTTTCAAATAGCCATCCTTACAGGTATGAGGTGATATTTCATTGTGGTTTTGATTTGCATTTCCCTAATGATTAGTAAAGTTGAGCACTTTTTCATATATCTGTTGGCCATTTGTATGTTTTCTTTGGAGAAATTTCTCTTCAGGGCCTTTGTTCATTTTTAAATTGGGTTATTTATTGATTTTTGCTATTGAATTGTGTCTTCTATACACTTTGGATATTAATTTATCATCAGATATATGGTTTACAGATATTTTCTCCCATTTTATAGGTTGCTTTTTCACTCTGCTATTTCCTTTGCTGTGCAAAGCTTTTCAGTTTAATATCCACCAGCAAAAGAATGAAATTGGACTCTTATACCAAACATAAAATTCAACTCAAAACGGTATACACTTCAACACAGACCTGAAACTGTGAAGCTACTAGAGGAAAACATAGGGAGAAACCTTCTTGACATTGGTCCTGGCAATGATTTCACAGCTATGGCACCAAAAGCACAGGCAACAAAAGCAAAAACACATAAATATTCTTTGTTTCTATGTTACGATGCTTCTTCTCGGTCACTACGTTGGGCACTTTGGCTGCTTGTACTCTACAACGTGCCCAGCAGTGCTTGTGTCAGTCTTTTTACTCACCATTTCTATTCCCTGCAATGCTCTTCCCCTGGATATCTACATGCCTTGCTCTCTTATTTTACTAGATGTCTGTTACAGTGTTGCTCCTCTGAGGACTTTGCTGATTGCCCAAGCAAAATGATATTCTCTGTCTTTTTTTAAAAAGTCCTCTTAACTTACTTTATATTTTTCCCCCTCAGATCATTTAAGAACCACTAGTGTGACAATCTTTTATGGGTTTATTTTATTATCTATTTCCCCAACTAGGATATAAGATTCGTGAGGGCAAGGATTTTATTTTATTCGCTTCCAAATAAATCCTCAGTTCTTTGAGCAACCGACACATAGTTAAGTTCAATACAAATTTGCTAAACCAATGAAGGGGTGACCCTTGATGAAGTATTTCTCCTGTTGTTTTAGTTTGGGGTGATTTTTTAAGTCATCTCAAGAAACTTTTCTACTTCCGCATTATGACTCCAATTTTTAGGAAGTTTTAAATTTTTCTAGTTGAAAATGTTGCTAAATAGAATTTGATTCTAAGAAAAATCAAAACCCTTTCCTTTTACCCTGTTTGAAAATAGTAATTAAATTCTAACAAACATAGTAGGCTCCTGATATTCCCTGAAAAAACCTGGAATGGTAGGAAATCTAGCACATTTTATCTTAACTTTCTCATTTTGTTTTATTTATAATAATGGCTCCTATATGTGAACACCACAGCTGCATTTGTATGTGATAGCTGTGTGATGGCTACACTCCATTGCTAGCTACATAGATCTTTTCTTCACACATGTCCTTAATGTTGATTATTCAAATTTGTGTTTAAAAAATTACAAATCCTATGTGGTCTGGACCTTTATGTTTGCTCAAGAATAGCTAATACCTGGAATGTTAAATCTGAGAATGCCATTGATATATTTCAAAATGAGCTTTGTGATCCTGTTTCAAATATTAAAATGTCATGGCTGAAAGCCTCCTTGGAGATCATCCAATTGCATATTTTATAGATGGCAAAAAAAAGCACAGAGTAAGGAAGGGACTATGTTTACTAATTAACTTAGAGTCAGTGGACTTAGGTTGCAAATAATAATGTTAAACCAAGGATATCAGTATCTTACGTGAAGTGGCTAGCTGTATATAAATAGGCATCTACCAGCAACACAAATCCAATGTAAGAAATAAATAGACTGTCTTCTATTCAATTTTCCACAGAATTTTTTTACTCCTTTGTCACAGATAATTTTAAAATAGCCTTTAAAAACTGAAGAACATTGAAATAAAAAATAATTTATAAATTATTCTCTAATGAGGATAACTTATCCCAGTAAAAATTCAATTAAGAATACTGAATTTTATTTCTCACAAGTAATTCAATTTGCACTTGTTACCTTCACAGATAGAAAGGAGGTGTTGTAGTATTGAGTACTGAAAAAAAACATGTCTGAAGGATTCTGAAAATCTTTCAAAGTACCAACTATTTCCCTCTCTGAACCCCTCTGTGTATGGGGTACCCAAGTCAATTGGTCACATAATGCTCTGAGGTTGAAGGAGGATTGGTTGTTTTGATGGAATGAGAGCTGAGACTAAAGTTGGCATAACATAGTGCCAAGCAGAGATAACATGCTGGTATCTTCGAGTCAGAGCTCTCAAGTACCATCCTTGCTCTGCCACCAACCAGCACTGTGACCTGAGCAAGTACTCTTCAGTACTACCTACAGTTGTCCATCTCTGAATCAGGGGACTGTACAAGATTAATTCTCCATCTCTAAGAGCCTTCCAGGTGATTAGAAATGTTCATCTCCAGGACTCACACTTCATGCATGCAGAGCCTGCTCTAGTGACAATTTCTGAGTTCCTTACCTGGCTAGGTGCTCCACTTCTGAAAGGTTTCCCATCTTCAAGGCTTTGTGGGCAAAAGCAATGACACGGAAGCCTTGCACTGTGTAATTCCTCAGCTCCTGTGGGAAATTCTTGGGCACTGTCAGAGTAGAAGGAACAGGTAAGTGCAAGGTCATGTTGAAGACTGGTCTAAGCAAGACTCCAGGATGCAGTCATTCTACCTTGTTTTAACTTTCATTCCATAAAAGTGCTTTAATAGAAAACTTAGAGCTTCAGCTGAAGGCCACAAACAACTTCATCGGTGTGTTCTTATTATTCTGATGGAAATAAATGCCAAAGCTGTGCAGGTCATCTACTGTGTTATGAACTGAATATGTCCCTCCAACATTCATATGCTGAAGCCTAATCTCTAATGCAATAGTATTTAGAGGTGAGACCTTTGGGAGGTAATTAGGTCATGAGGGTGGAGCCCTCATGAATGGGATTGATGCCCTAAGGAAACACATCTTTTTCCACCATGTGAGGATACAGCAAGAAGGCAACAATCTGCAAACTAGGAAGAAAGCCCTCTCCAGGAACCACATTGGGCAACACCTCTATCCTGGCCTTTCCAGCCCCCAGCACCATGAGGAATAAATTTCTGTTGTTCAAGCACCCATCTATGGTATTTTGTTATAATAGCACAAGCCGACTCAGACAAACTGGGTGTCAAATACATCGAGTAGGTTCAGTAAGAACAGACCTCAGGACTATGAGTACTTGGATAAAATGAGAGAAACAGCTGATCTTCTAGATCAGAGGTCAAAAAACTAGGATGTACAGGCTAAATCTAGTCTACAACTTGTTTTTATCAATGAAGTTTTACTGACACACAGCCGTGCCCATTTGGTTGTTCATTGTCTATGGCTGCTTTGAGGCTTCAGTAACAGTGTTGAGTAATTGAAATGGACACCGTGTGATTTGCAAAGCCTAAAGTAAGAACTATGTGGCTCTTTACAGAAAAGTTTGCCAACTCCTGCTTTAGGTGAAAGATGACACAATGCCAATATTTGTGTGTTTTAGCGTGGCAATCAAAACTATGTTTGTAAGATCTTTATGATTTACGATGCACCTATAAGGGTATCAGATGGAACCACAGAACAATGGAAGGTGCAGTAGCTTAGGTGGCAAACCGACTAAGTTCTATTCTCCATTCCACTTCCACCTGGACCTTAGTCATGTTAAGTCTCTCTTCTGCACCTCAGTTTCTCATCCATAAAATGAGAAGTTTCCAGATCTCTCTGTCTCCATTTGTTTCAGACTTTCTGTAATTCTAAAATACTCCTGGAGGTCGGAATCTAATTTCAAGAAAGTTCTTAGCTTGCTATTTCTAAAAATGGGGTAGGGTGGTGGTGGAAATCACTGAAGACGGTATTAGCTTAAGTCCAAGATCGGAAGTTGGGACCACAGGAAGACTTGAAAGAGCTGCCAGAATAATGAGTGCCAAGTGACAGACCCAAATCCTTACTGAGAGAGCAGAGGCAATAGATACCAGTTTAAATGTCAAGAAGATGCTCAATTGTAGCCGCGTACCTGAAACAAAACAAACACAGTATATGTGGTAATCAGTGAAGGACAGAGTCAATGAGAGCTATGCTGAAGATCAAAGTCAGAAGAAAAGGGGCTACGTCTAAGGGTTAAAAAAAGACTCCCAATAGAGAAGTTAAAGTAATCATTTGCCAAATCTAGAATTCTCTGCACAAGTTGATGGCCATCAGCAATTATAAGGAAAGTCACATGAAAATCAGAAGAAAAAAGACCAATTTTATCCAAATGAACTCATTTGAATGCAACCATATTCTTAAAAACCTGGCTGCCACTTAAAGAGTGCATATGTTTATAAGACTAAAAAGCAATAAAAATCAGCTCAAAATCTGGCCCAGAAAGATGAAATTGCTGTGAAAATGATTAATTATCTTGCTCGAATACCATCGAATTTACTCTAATCAGCTTTATTTCTAAGATATTTGTCTTTTCTATATTCTTCCCCCATCCATCTATCTGATCCTCCCTGGAGGTGAGAGTAGCCATATCTGCAGAACGTACCTAGCTCGAGACCTCTCCCTTCGTTTCCCTCATTTACACCTCCCCTAGCTCTCTGGCCCTCAGTAGCTCCCTATTCTGGCTCCCGATGCAAGCTTCACATCTATTCTCCTTCCCAGATGCCCCATTGTAGTTGTACTTTTTTCACTGCACCCATTGCCGGATATTTACTTGCTACCTCTCGCCTTGAAAGTCTCACCCCTGCTTACTAGGATCTGCTGGGCCTACTTTCTACCCACCCAGGAAACAAGCAGCTCCACATTCATTGATTGCAAAGCTTTCCGTGTTTGTTGGCTTTATGTATTTGGTCTTGGCTGACCGCTATGGCTCCCACCTGTGATCCCAGCAGTTTGGGGGGCTGAGGCAGGTGGATCACTTGAGACCAGAGTTTGAGACCAGACTGACCAACATGGTGAAACCCCATCTCTACCAAAAATACAAAAACTAGCCGGGCATGGTGGTGTGCTCCTATAATCCCAGCTACTTGGGAGGCTGAGGCAGGAGATTCACTTGAACCCAGGAGGTAGAGAATACAGTTAGCTGAGGTCGTGCCACTGCACTCCAGCCTCAGGGACAGAGCAAGACTCTTGTCTCAAAAAAAAAAATAGGATTTTACTTATTGAAAAAGGTAAGTGTCACTTAGTACCTGTTTCAGATCTGCAGAATCTGGCCACCATTTCTGGGGCACCCTTCATGTAGACGTGGAAGTGGTCTTCTCCAGCTAGCTGAGCAATCACGGACATCCTCTGCAGGCTTGAGGAAAATGGAAACTGGCGCAAGGTGGTGATGGCTTCTATCAGACTCTGCAAGCCCATCAACAACAGGGAGCTTAACAGGCTGCTAAGTGATATTTCCAAATGCATACCAACAAAAACTTACTGTGCAGCGAGCCCAGGGATATCTTGATGTAGTGTATTTGTCACTTTATTTATTTGCTGCCTTAAAGCGACTCCCTCAAAAAGTTGTCTGGTCTGCAAGGACCTTCCCCTAGAGAAATCCTAATCACCGTTCAGGACAAGCTCACAGGTCATCTCCTCTGTAGTGTTTTTATCTCCCAGAAACAGTATTCCCTCCCACGTCAGGACTCTTGAAGCCCTTCCTTCAGCCTTGATTATAGAATTTGGCACATTGTGTTGCACTTATTTGCACCTGTATTGATTTTTCTACCAGTCTGTGTGTTCCTCTAATCCAGAGCCAAGTGTGTCTTGTTTTGAAACCTCTTTATCTGCTAGTACATAGCACGATACTCTAGCATACACAGGTTGTGTTTGCTGAATAAATTAATAGATAAGTTCAGGAATGAAAGAAAGAGCAAACCAACCATGGAAAGTGTTGGGATAAGACAAAATAATAGGACTATGAACACTATGTGAAAGTCAGAAATGTTTCACCAGTTTTATGCAGAACGAGCTATATGATTTAAAGAAGGAAATAATACCTTACTGGCTTTTGGTCCTGGTTTTATGATGTTTGAATTTGACATCCCAAATTTGCAGGAGTCTATGTTGCAATCTTCCATTTTCTGTATAAAATGAAAACATTTATAAGATTCTTTGAAGAAAAGTAGTATGAAAGGAATACCTCTTATATGCACAATAATCTTTTCAAAGCCCTTTTTTAACATATTTTCTCTTCCAGCCCAATTATCTTAATATTGCCATTGTCAAATTTCTGTTGTGTCGATTCATATTAAGGGCCTTATTCTAGAATGAAAAAAGCCAAAAATGTGTGAATTCATTTTAAGAAGTAATTGATGGAAGAAGTGCTAGCTACAGGTCCGTGGATCTTTCTAAATGATTACATCTAGTAACTGGAGGGGGGATTATGTGGAGCTGTGTTCTCCAATGTTGCTGAACACCATGGCTCTCAGATGAGTTGGGACTGGGTCCTGAGACAAACATGAGACTAGGTCTTCATACTATACCTATGCTGCTAGCTTACTTGAGTTAACTAGGAAGTTAGAATGCTCGCTGCTAGCAAATTAGAAAGCCTGTTTGAAAATGGCTTGAATTCTTTTGATATTACAACAGAAGTTAATACCTCCGAGAAGCCAATATTAACCAATATTAAAATATGGGAAAGACAGTCATGCATAGAAATAGTAGAGGTCAGGAAACAGGAGATAGTCTGTTTCCACTCTGCCACTTACCTGTTTCATCTTGGGGACATCATTTCATTTTTCTAGTCTCAATTTCTTCTGAAAAATATTCTGACATTCCTTCAAATGCTAAAATTCTTGACAGTCTAACAGGACAGTTTCCCTTCTCTGTATGTGGACTGGAAGTTTCCCAGTTACCAAAAGATATTCAGCTCAAGACAGTTTCTGACTCAGCTCTAAACTCAGTGAATAATCCTGCATTTTTATGCTTTGTTTAGGATGGATATAACCATTTTTACAGACAGTTCTTTCAGAGCTAACACTAAAGATTTATATTTCCAAACAAGTATGTTATTTGTAAAGATAGATCAACCTTCCTATAATGGAGAGGGGGATGTAGTTAGGTCCAGGACTAAAGCCAGATATAAAATGATCTTGTGCAACTCATCACTGTGTCAGTCCCAGTGATTCTGGCAAGGACATTGCTTACAGTAAGTACACTGATTCCTCTCCATTAAAATCCAGGGAATTGGTCACTATGTCAAAATATTTTCCACAGCAAATGCTCTGTCTTAACTTACTGATATCAGAGGTTTCCCTTTTTACGAGGTTTCCTCTTTCATTGATTTACCTGCTAGAAAATTAAAATTTCTTTATTATATATCTGTATTAGCTTCTTTGTTAGGTGTGCTTTGTTTCCCTGCAATCATTTGTTTCCATTCTTTTGCGGCAATGTTTAACTGCTGTACTGTCATTTATACAGCATTGTCCGTAGCTTCAGGATGTTCTTTGGAGGGCAGCAGGATGCAATTAACGAACTGGTTAATGAGTGAACACCCTGTACCTGTTTGGCTCTTCATTGTGCTCAAAGCCACTTTAGTCTCATAGTTTCAGCGCTCACAAGTCTGTGAATGAGGCATTATTACCCCTAATGTACGGATGAGGTCACAGACTCAGGCTTCGCTCTGGCTTTGTGATCACACAGCTGGAGAGTGGTGAAATGAAGTTTTCCACGATAGCAGCCTCCAGTATGGGCTTATATCCTTCCGCTTTCATTCGCACTCAGCTCAGGAGATGGAACCAGTTGGAATGCAGCCCTCCAGTTTGGTATCTAGACTTGTGCTTTACAATATACAGTTGCCACCAGCCACTTGTGGCTATTTGAATTTAAATTACTTAAAATTAAATAAGATTAAAAATGCAGTTTCTCAGTTGCGTAGCCACACTTCAAGGGCTCAGTAGCTACATATGGCTCGTGGCCGCTGCACTGGAGAGCACTGTTTCAGGCTACTGTTTCTCTGATAGTGTTTTGGAAAACAATGATGTTTTGGAGAACATGCTAGGTTATGGGTGTCAATAAGGTTTTTGAGGACCAATAGGTTTGGAAAATGCTGCATTTCATATCCCCTCTTGAATATCCACAAAGGATCACAGTATATTAAAGAAATCATGCAGTCGAGAAATGAGTTTAACTTTGTTTAAACAACAGTTCCCAAGTTTGTTCAATAATGGATGCCTATTTCATGTTGCACCCATTAACAGAATTCTTTGGGGCAGAGGTTGGGAAATTCTGGTAGCATTACACACTCATTCTACGTTATTATGAATCTTCTCCATGTTTTAACAAAAATTAGAAAAGCTTCAGCATTCCCAGTAAAGATTTCTTCATGTTCTCATCATTGCATTAAACTATCACCTTACCCAGGCAGTGCCCTCAAACATTTTGAGGTCCAGAGGGTCTCCCTGGATGGTCCCATCGACGAGAACCAGAGAGTGGCAGCTGGCCATGGATGCACACAGTGGGCCCCATGGCAAAGACTGGCCCAAGGCAAAGCTGTGGGCTTCCTGGAAGCTGGTAGAGAAGGTAACATTAAAGTCTTTGATAAAATCATTTTGCATACCCTGTCTCTTAAATCTTACTAAAGTAGAGCTTCAAACACTTAATGTTCATGCTCAGAACCTTCCCATGGCTTCCCATGCTCCATATGATAAAGTCCAAGCCCCTTAGCCTGGTATTCAAAGTCCTGTCCACTTCGGATCTACCTTACCTTACAGTGCCCACTCCTACTAACGTCCGTTATACCCTGGACTCTAGATCCAGATTAAACTTCTTGCTGTTGCTATGCTTGTCCAGGGACTTCCCTGCGCTTAAGCCCCTACCCACTTGGTTTCATTATTTTTTAAACAGGGTGTTGTGCCTACAGAGTGATCTTTGTAAAAACATTTCTTTGAGTTGGATATGAATTTTCTTCTCAACAGAGTTTGCCACTGGCCAATCAATAACAGTTTCAGAGGCTTTGGATAGAATTGCAGGGACTTTTGTCATGCAATTTTGAAGTCAGCCCACATAATGGCAGTATTGTAGGAAGGCACATCAACAGGCAGCTCAGAGTCATACCTGAAAACTCTGCAGAGCTGTCCACAAAAAGTCATGCACCCTCGGCAAGAATTCTCTAGGGCTACTTAGGGAGCAGGAAATTAGGCTGCATGGATGTGGAAGCATTTCTCACTACTCATCACTTTAGAGATTGCCCCTACTTCATGAAGCACCCTGGACATACCACCTCTAAAGCCTCTTTTTCTCTTTGATAATACAAACTGGCATAGTGTATCTTCCTCTCTTCCCACCTTACAGCTAAATAGTGATTGTGTCATTGTTCCTGCCCTCCAAAAAGCTTCAGAGTACCAGGGACAAGGGAGGATGATGGAGGGGTGGGAACTGTGGACATCTTTTTTCTCTTTCACTACTCTGGCCAATAGATTCCTTGTCTGTCTGGACCAAGGGCTGGATGGACATCTGAGCAGCCAGAAGCAGAGACACATGAGTAGGGTTAGAGCTCAGGTGTTCTTTGCCACCCAGTGCAGGGTACCTTCTGCAACATCACACTGCTTGTCCGCTGTTAGCTTGTGACATGCTGTACCTGCCCCCTTCATCATCTTGAGCGTCCCCTGAAAAGTGTCTTCTGTCACTGATGGCTGCCTCAGCCACTGTTGGAGCCAAAATGAGGTACCCATGGCTTAAGAGCAGAGGCCATCACCACTCAAATTGAGAAGGCAGGTCTTAGCCCATACAGAAGGAGCTAGAAGTCAGAGGTAGATACCATGAGGAGATCCACCCTCCAGGGGCCCTCCTTCCACTCTCTAGCTCTTTCTGGAGCAGATATCTATGTCCTCTCCTCCCTAGTGCCAGCTTTTAGCCCACAGCTATAAAAATTCTAGCCGCATGCCCCTCAAAATTTATCTGAAGTGCCATGTCCTTCAGGTAGCTTTCTTTGATTCACCAAACTTCAAAATTGATTTGTCTTTACCCACCATGTTATTACATAAAAGTCAGGACTATGTGTTATATCAAATAGTCTCTATTTCTCCTCCATTCTGACATTTCTGCCTTAATAGTAACAACTTTTATGGCCTGTGTTGTACATCAGAGGTGGGCATATTTGCACCTTTTTTTTGAGTTGTGCTTTAGGTTCTGGGGTACATGTACAGATCATGCAGGATTGTTGCATAGGTACACACATGGCAATGGTATTTGCACCTTTTTATCCCGCTAGGCTGTGAACCACATTTCCAGATTTCTCACCACACGAGCCTGCACTAGCCACCCAGGAAGTCTTGGTAGCTTTTAATTAAGCATGGTCTTCATTTCACTCTTCCTTCTCTGTCTCATTTAGTTCCTTAATTATCCACCTCATCCTATTCCATTTTTCATGTAGATTTTGAAGACCTACTTTCCCTGTCTGATTCTGAAATTAGAATTCATTTAATTAAACAAATTAGATATTACAAACTAGTTCCACCCAATTATTATATATATTTTATGGGACATTCATCCATTAACACCCAAAAGATGGATTTGAGTATCATCCAGGTGACTCCACCAAACACACATTCCATCTTCACATAAGAGGCCTACCAGTTGCCAGCAGTAGGGACAGTCCCCCAGAGGTCCAGCCCATCTTCAGTGAGAGTGCCAGTCTGAATAAAAATTGAAATCAATATTAGCATAAGATGTAAACCTTTTAATTATATTGTAATTTAAGCAAAACCCAAGCTTTTAAGAGATCATAGTAGATCCAGTAGTCTAAATACCTTGTTTGTAAGTACCAAATTTAAAATCAAAGATGAGTACCTACGAGAAGAACTAAGCAGGTGATACATGATCCCCAAAAGACCATGTCGATAATTAGGTGATTTCAGTTACTAATTATGAGGAAAAAAATGCAAGTGCTTTGTTTTGGTTCGTTTATTGCTATGACTTGCTGCTGTTAATCGGGAGAGGTTCAGTACAAGAACCAGCTCAAGTCTGACTTTTAGTTGGCACCTGCAGTCTTGCCAAAGCAGAGCTCAGAAATTCTTTTTTCTTTATTTTCAAGACTGTTCAATTCACAGTTTGCCATCTGGTTCACAGTAATTTTCTAAAAATATGGGTGACACAGTGATTGTCCAGATTGATAATGAAATGTTGATAAAGGACTTTGAGACTAGAGAGATAAATTAAGTGCCAATAATAAATATTAATTAATGCCCACAAATGGATTTTATTGTTAGATCAAGGGGAAAATAGCTCAGAGATTTGATTTGCCATACTATGGGAGAGTATTTGTCAGATAATGTAACAGAGAAAGAATGATGGAACTGAGTACTATCACAGCACTTTTAATTTCCTCACTGCTTCACACGCATTCATTAATTACAGACTCTGGTGTCTTGATGCAGCAGGCTAACAGTTTTAGGCCCGATTAACACCCAGAGTAAGTGGAGTTGGCTACAGCTGCTTCAGCACTGCCAGGGCAAACCTGAGCTTTACCAAGCATGGCAGAATACCCTGTTTCTACACTAAAACCCAAGTTTCTGACACGACTTTTTAAGGCTGTCTCTATGAAAGATGCTGAATTTCCTAGTTTTCTATCAAATGGCATCCTCCATCATTACAGCACATCCATTAGCATGATGCCTTACTGCAAAGTGTTTACAGTGCTTTCCGTTTTCACAACTGAGTTAACAGATTGGAGGCAGGTTAGAGGTGAAATGAAGAACCTGACGTCATAGTGGCCTGTGGGTTGGAAAGGCAGAACCAGAATCCGGCCCTTCTGGAGTCTTCCGCCAAACTAGAAAACGTTAAGTGAATCATACACAGTATGTGGAAAGACAAAGTTCTTTCTGGGTTTCTAGTTTAAAGAATTAAGAAATCTCCATTTCATTCATCTATTTGAACCTCACAAAGAAGGCACGAACACACGAGTGAATTATTTCTTAAATAACAACTTTTTGAAAAGCAGCTCTTTGTTTCATTTCTCTTCTGCACTTTATAAAGGACCCCACCAAGTTTGGTTTCCAAATCCCCTCGAGTTGTTGCATTTCACAAGAGTTTGCAACTTAATTCAAATTGAAATGTTTTCCTGATGATGTTTTTAAACATCAGTCTTTTGAACATGGAAACAGAGATGATACTGCAGCAACAAAGAAATTAGACCATGTTATTTCTCGATGAAAATAACCCCTAAACAATAAAACTTACCCAAAATAGAGAGAAAACAAAATTATAGTTGAGGTTCTAAGGGGAATAAGATGGAAAGAGAAAATCTCTTAGCATAAATACAAGCTCAAGCTTGGGCTAAATTGAATGAAAAGAAAGAACTTGTCTTACAGACGTTATAACAAACCAATAGAAAACAGAAATATATATGGGAACAAAGGGACTCAGAAACCCAGTGATAGATATCTCTGAAACTGAAAATAACACTAGATGAAAATTCAATTAATGGCGGAGTGTTTTATTCCAACTTGATGGTGATAGAATTTTATAATGTGAAAGCTGGAAAGAAACTCAGAGATGATTGTGGTTGAATCTTCTTTTCTTAAAAAGTCACACAGAAACTCAGTGCCAAATTCTGGGTTAGACTTCTCATTTTGCCAATTTTCAACCGAGTTTTTTGCACTGTCACATGTCATCGTATCCTGCAGAGTTTGACCAAGGACACCTAAAAGCAGCCTCTCAGATATCCTGGCAGATGAGGACATAAGGATGTGGAGGGAGAGGTTTTATACAGGAAATAAAATGAATAGCCTGGGGGAAAATTCATTTTAGAAACAAACAGGCCAGGCACAGTGGTTCAAGCCTGTAATCCCAGCACTTTGGGAGACTGAGGTGGGCAGATCACCTGAGGTAGGGAGTTTGAGACCAACCTGACCAACATGGAGAAACCCTGTCTCTACTAAAAAATACAAAATTAGCCAGGCATGGTGGCATATGCCTGTAATCCCAGCTACTCAGGAGGCTGAGGCAGGAGAATCGCTTGAACCCAGGAGGCAGAGGTTGTGGTGAACTGAAATCATGCCATTGCACTCCAGCCTGGGCAACAAGAGCAAAACTCTGTCTCAAAATAAATAAACAAGTAAGAAACAGAAAAAAGAAACATGAATATGTAATGGACATATTTCATAAATCTCCCTCCTGTATTCTACACACCAGTGAGGCTCATGAGGAAGTAACAGGCATCCCTATTATTAGAGAATGTTCCAAGGGGGTGTTTTATGACTATGAATCTAAAATGAAGTTAACCTTGTTAGTTCTTGACTGGTGGTGAGAACTTTCTTTGCCAAACAAAACACAAACAGAAAGAGAACTGACATAATCTAAAAGCTATACCCCCTTCACCTGGGGACGAAGCCTGGTCGAGTCTACTCATTGGTGTCCCTCCCATTTGTCCTCTACTCTCCATTCTTGTCCTTCTTGTCTGGGACAAACAATGATCTCTTCTGTCGTCCCCAGATGGCCTCTTTCTTCAGTCCCATTTCCCTTCCATCCCTTCTCATCAGTTGCCCTTGGTGGGATATAAAACACCTATAAAAATGTCACTAGTCTTAAAATATAAGGGCCCCTATTCTGCTTCAAGACAAGGACCCACTCCTTAGCTTGGCATATGAAGCCCTTAATAATTGCCCTCACCCCAACTTCATTCTCCACCTACCGGCCCATATTCTAGCCATACCCCACAGTCGTCTGCTCCCTGTATGCCATGGGCCACTTCTACCCCTGTGCTTCCCAGCTGCTCACCTCTGAGCCCAGGGCTTATTCTAACAACCAAGGCTACAGCTCAAAGGTGGCCTCCAACCTGTGGCAGGTAACTGTGCCCCATGCTTTCCTCAGATCTCTATTAAACATACAACTCACAGCATGATCACCATTTACACTCCCATTTTCCCACTTTCTCAGTTAGACTGGAAGCTTCTCAAGGGCTAGGAATGACTCATTATGGGTCTCTCTACCAGCACTGTACACAGCAGTGGCTCTCTGCCAAAAAATGGCAAAAGCCCTAATAAATTATTTAAATGCATGTGAACTGAAGACAAGAGGGACCCAGCCAGGCTCATTGCTTTACAGCAGCTAAACTGGCCTGTCCAAGCTGACGGCAGGATCTGTTTACAGCAGGCATCTGATGCTGAAGTCCTCCAGATACCCCATAGGAGAGTCATGTCAGGGGGGCGGGTCTCAGGACCTGCTTGATGACAGCAGTCTTCCCCATGTGGCATATGCGCCTCCTCTACCACCTTTCCAGGTCCCTAAGCACAGAAACAACCTAGCCTGGAGTCATAAGCCCTGGAGGAGCAAAGGGGCAGGAGTGTATAGACAGCGTCATTGTTTCCTTCCTTCCTTTCCTTAAAAGAAGCAAAGGAGGAGAGAGGAAACACATTCACTGATGTTCTGGATGAAGCACTTCAGGAAACAGAAATGTTCCTCACATTTTTTGCCTGAAAAGGCCAGTCAGTCATAGAAGTTACTATAGTAAGAGATGGAAAAAAAAAACCCACAAACCAGGCACACAAATTATTAAATTTCACAGAAGAAAAAATTCATGATGTGGTGGCTAAGCTGCTAATATTAAGAGGTGAGCAAAGCAGGCTTCTAGAATGTGATCTTGCACTAGCTCACTCTGTGACCTTCTCTGGCCTCAACGTTCCCATCAGTAAAAGGGGAACACTGGACTAGACATTTTCTGAGGCTCTTCCCAGCTCCACTCTGCCTTGAAATCATTAACCTTAAACCTGGGAAGTCTGGATCATACTTTGTCAAAGCACACGAGGTTTATTTGCCCACACATGTTGATTCTCTGTGGGGAGATACAGAAGATTTTCTCTTTCTTCAGTCTCTTCTGAGCATACACAATGCCTATGGTCAGGGCAGCTGGCAGCACTGGAGGGACAGTCACGGTAAGGAGAATCAGGGCCATGGTCACAGTGTCTTTTGGAGGGATCTGGGAGAGGAGAGACATTTATACAGGTTAGCCGGGCACAGCAGGTTGGCACCCTTCCTAGAACCTTTCTCCTGCAATACCTCAGATGCTCTAGAGATCTATGTTCCAAATATTAATAGTGAGTTGGCTCTCTTGGTGAGGTCAAGTATTCTCTTGACTGTGCCAAAGGAATGAGCATGTTGTCTCCTAACTTCTGGTTTATAAATCTCTCTCCCTCACTAGGCTACAAACTCCTTGGGGTGCAGCAGCTACAGCTTGCTCATCTTTGGATCTCCATACTGATCTCTAGATACAGAGCCTAGCATGGGATTTAGCACAGAGGAGGTGCTCAGTACATAGATTGAATGAATGGCAATATGATTAAAAACTAGGACCAAGATCCTGCCAAGATCTCAGCATATATTATTAACTACTGGGAAGCCAATACTAAAATTAGCTTGCTCTCGTTGGATACTAACTCTGGAGCAGACATTGTATTAGGCTACATATATTATTTACTTGCTTTCTGTAACAACCTTATGATGTAAATACTACTATTTTCTCCATTTAACAGGTAAGGAAACTGAGGCTTTAACAAGTGAATAACTTTCCCAAGGCCACATACTAGGTAAATGACAAAAACCTGAACCCTAGTCTGTCTGATTCCAGGGTACAAAGCCATGACCAGTATGTTTTATTATAAAGTCAATCTTTGTGAAATCAGGATGCCTGGCAGGTGCCATGGTGTGGCTGTGTTCGACCCAAATCTCATCTTTAATTGTAGCTTCCATAATTCTCACGTGTTGTGAGAGGGACCCAGTGGGAGGTAATTGAATAATGGGGCAGGTATTTCCTGTGCTGTTCTCATGATAGTGAATAAGTCTCATGAGATCTGATGGTTTTATAAAGGGGAGTTCCTCTACACAAGCTCTCTTGCCTGCCGCCATGTAAGACATGACTTTGGTCTTCATTCACTCTCACCATGATTGTGAGCCCTCCCCAGCCATGTGGAACTGTGAGTCAATTAAACCCCTTTCCTTTATAAATTACCCAGTCTCAGGTATGTCTTTATCAGCAGCATGAGAATAGACTAATACAGCAGGTCTGTAGAGGAGGCTGACTCAGTTAAGGTCAGGGATGAGGTCAAATCACAGGGTTAATTGTTTTGTTTTCCTCACATGTTCTAGATATTAATTGTTCTACCCTCTACAACCTTGCCTGTGTTTTTGTTAAATTAACCATCATTTTAGCCATAACTGCTTTTTTGAGTATTAGAAACATGGGATTCAAGTTCAGTAGCAATGTCCACTGGGGACATCTTTTGCCCAATCTTAATTTATCACAAAATTCATTACTCCCTTCTTTCCCCAACCACAGACACAGAAGAGTTTTCACCCTAAGGACCGGGCCTTGTCTAATGCTGAGCCAGTGCAGATAGAGGCAGCCATCAGAGTCACAGGTTCTGACCCAAAAGAAGATGGGGTCTGGGATTGTTAGTCTGTTGCCTCAGTGTGTATTGAATGTTAAGTTCTTCCCAGGAAGCCTCCTTCTCAAATACTGCCAGGGCTTCCATGAGCCCTTTTCCTGCTTTTCTGCTCAATGCTCCTGCTCCTCAGATTAAATTGGCATACTCCCTCAAATTCCAGCCCCAGTGACCTTGACATTCTGCCTAACTCTCACAGGCCCCATTGTGGGCCTCCCTTGACCTAGAAATGCTCCCTGGGTGCTATTTCAGATTGAAATAACTACTCAGCAGTTAAGTTTTAGCATGAACATTGCCTTGAAATTCTTGTGACTATGTCCTTGCCTGCCAATATTCGCTCCCCACCTCTCTCTCTATCTCCCTTTCTCCCTCTCTCTCTTTCTCTCTCTCTCTCTCTCTCTCACACACACACACACACACACACACACACACACACACACACACACACATTGATGCCACCAATTTGGACATTGTAATTAGGCCACTCACAGCTTTTCACCTGTTTGGATGTTTTATTCACAATTCTCTTTTCCTCCCTACCAGCTCATACTATTATGATCCCAGCATTTCTTATATAGAGACTGCATGGTTCACAACAAAATCAGACTCTCAGGACCAGAAAGGATCTCAGAGGTCTTTAGTCACAACCCTTCCCTCCCCAGCCACCATTCTATGGCGAGAGACATCCAAATGAAACCTGAAACTCTGTAGCTTAAAGAGGAGTAGATATCTCGTGAGGTACCAGGTCTATAAAAGTAGAAAATTGATTTCATTTCAGACCCTAACCAGAACACATGGGAAACCCACTGGTTGCATGGTGTTTTAGGTATTACCTAAACACTGGGGGCAAACTAGGCATGAGAATATTTCTGCTGTCTAAGAAAGCTCTCTTGGCCAATAATGATTTGTAGAATGATAGGATCAAGACATAACCTAATACAACCTTCTGAGTTAGGTCAGGCTCTTCGCAGAAGCTATACTATTGAAGAGCCTTACCCCAGTACTTACTCCATGGTACGTATATACCCCTAGGGCATAGAAAAAACCCATGACACCAAGGCAGGCCAGGAACACCATGAACTTGAAGGCATCGCTGTATAGTTTGAAGTTCAAAGGCCGAGGGTAGAGGATGGATCTCACTAAGTCCCCTTTGGCTGTATTGTAACCTGCATGAAGATAGTCACAGATCAAGTAAGGCTGCTTGATGGACACTTGGTCTCCTAAAAATGGCTTTACTGTCTTTGAGGCAAAGAGCAGAGTTTTCTCTAACCTGCTACCTAATCATTTCATGAGTATTCAGGTGGTTTTCATGATTTGTAACCATGAGCTTCCATGCAGACAACAGGCTCTAATGTCTAGTGCCTGCTAGCTAGTTTGAACATTTAAAAAAGGTTGATATTTTTAATTTTGAAAAATCATGCAGAACAACCAAATCATAAACCAAACTAAAGCATACAGACATCACTGTCTAAAGTGTATTTTGCATCTGTGAATAAGTCAGATGGCAAAAACACAGCTCAGGGGTTAGAACAGAGAGCTGGGACCAGGTCATAGAAGGCCTTCATTGTGTTATGTCATGTAAAAGACTGGGACTCAGGAGGTGTTTGCAGAATCATCCAGATTTGGTGCCACATTTGGTATGGGAAAATGAGAGGAGTTAGAGATGTTATTAAGAGACCAGCATGATGGTGATGTCGTTAACAGAGAAAGTCAATACAGGAGGATGAGTACTTTCAAATTCATTGTCTGTAGGACACCCAGGTAGAGTTCTTCACTAGTGAGTTTGACATACAGCCTAGCAAGCAACTCTTTGAAAGGAAAAATTCCTCATAATCATAGTGGCTGAATTTTTTTTCTTTTTGTAATCATTCAGAGGAGGTGTCAAGGGAGACAGAAGAAGCATATGGTCATAAGCAAAAATAAGAGTATAGTTTTACCTTTGACAAATTTTACTTCACCTACGCATACTCTTCATCACATAGAAGGGTTTTAACAATAAACCATTCAGTTAAAAATAATGACACTAGCCGGGCGCGGTGGCTCAAGCCTGTAATCCCAGCACTTTGGGAGGCCGAGGCGGGTGGATCCCGAGGTCAAGAGATCGAGACCGTCCTGGTCAACATGGTGAAACCCCGTCTCTACTAAAACTACAAAAAATTAGCTGGGCATGGTGGTGCGTGCCTGTAATTCCAGCTACTCAGGAGGCTGAGGCAGGAGAATTGCCTGAACCCAGGAGGCGGAGGTTGCGGTGAGCCGAGATCGCGCCATTGCACTCCAGCCTGGGTAACAAGAGTGAAACTCCGTCTCAAAAAAAAAAAAAAATAAAAAAAAAAATGACACTTTAGAATAATAAGTGTCTGTTTAGAAAAAAATGTTCTATTACTACCAGAATGTGGCAAACTCCAAAATCCTAAACAAAATTTTCCTAATCCAACTCTCCCCATGTTCAAGCATGAATTAAACTTACAAAAATGGAATCCACTAACCTGTTTGCAATACGACTGCTCTTACAGGTCCCTGCCCAGAGGACTTGACCTGGATAACTTCTGTTCCACAGAAGAGGACATGTCTCCGATAATCCTCCAGGCTGTGACATTTCCAAGGCACAGTATTCTCCATTTGGGGCAATGGTGTCTTTGTAACAGGTATACTTTCTCCTAAAGAGGATTGTATTTTGTTGAATCTGTGTCAGCTCAGGTAGTTAGTTAGAACTGGTGCATGCTAGTTTCAAGAAATTATACAAACTGCAACTCATCCGGTGTTAGTGCCCGTCCCATGAGTCAGATGACTGTTCACAGAGATGCCAGTGGTGCAAGCAATGGTAGACTTGATTCTAGTGCAAAGATTTAGGTAAGACCTGCCTATCTATCCTATACCTGGCCTGGATCATTTGTTGACATAATTTTGAAAGCAGCCTATTGTGGCTGAATTATCACTTAATCATTCTTCCAAGTATTAATTAAACCCAGCACTATTTTAGGCAATGAAGGAGCTTTCCAGCACATGAATAGTAATTACTGTTTGTTTTGCATTCACTCATGTATTCATTTGTTCACTCATTCACACATTCATTCAACTATTTTTAGGTGCTTATTCTGTTCCAGGAACTGTGCTAGGTTCTAGGAACAGAATGAACAACCAGAGAGACAGAACTCTTGCCCTCATAAGCTCACGGAGGAACGTGAGAAAACAGTAGTTACTCCACATCGTTTTCTGATGGAGCCCATTCAAGCCCCACTTTGATCATCCCATTCTTTTGCTCAAAATCCTTAGGCTTTTCCATTGCCACTACTGAATAAAGGCCAAAGTCTACTGCTAGATTGTCAAAGCCTACCACAATTCAAGCATCATTGCCTGTCATTCTCCTACACAAGCCCCAGCTCAACTAGGCCTCTTGCATTTCCTTTTATTGACTCCCATTCTTTGTAGGTAGCATTTTTTTTTCCTTTCCCAGTTGGCTGTAAGACAGAATATTTAAGGTACAAAGAAATTAGCTCAGAGTTCAAAAAGGATAAATTTCAGAGACCAAATAAAGATGTTAATAATAGTTTTTCGCTCTCAGGTTTAAAGAGTAATAGAATAAATTTAAAATTCCATCAGTCTTTTACTAAACGTTCAATTAGCAAGATAATGTGTCATATTTCTAATTTGGAAATGGTATTATATAAATCATAGTTATACCAGTGTAGGTCTCATCTTTCTAGCTAATAACTGGAAACAAGAACTTTGGCATATATAAATTTGTATACTCTTCATTTTTCCTAGTGACATGTAATAGGTTTCAAAATACATGTTTTTTTCAAATGCACAGGTGAATTAAATAAAAACACCCAAGTTTTTCTATGATTGGGTTTTCAAAACTCATTTTCTGCCATGATGTATTTTTACATGCTAAAGTGCAAGAAGCTGTAAAATTGTTATAAGCGATCTTGAATATTTTTCAAGAAATTCTTTTAGCCAAGCTGTTGTTCCTATACCACTTTCTTTAAAACGATTATGGCATTCATCCATTGCGTAGATTTATCAATTACATTCTAAATGGCTTCATAGAAGGGTTAGAATGTTTTGACAGTCTCCAAATCATGGTACCATACTGTTTTGAAATCTGCCTTTGTAAAAGGCAGATACTTTGAGATCATCTCCCCCCTTTCTTTTTTGCTTTTGAATCACAGAATATTAATCCAAAATATATATTTAAACTAACATCAGCAAACCATTTTCTGTACACAGAACCAATGAAATTGGAAGCAGTCAGATATTGATCAATCAGAAATGGAAGTCACTTGCGGTTAATTTGTTCCAGAGATAACAGTCAGATGATTTTAGAGAGATGGTTTTCAAGTCTGTTTTATGCTATTTGCATATTAATAAGAAATCTCATATTTTGGCCTTTCTTTGGAGCCCAAGAAAGGATGATTCATCTACAAAAGACATGGAGTCCAAGGCAGCTGGAGAGAGTTTTAGAGGACAGAACCATCATCGTTCATCATCAACTGTACAGTTGGCTCCCCGTGCTGTCAAATGGAGGTTCCTTCCCTTGGCCGCAGGATCAAGATGCCTCCTCATGGTGACAGTGTTTGAAATTCCAAGTCCTTTTACTTTATAGTTCTAGAACCATTAGACTGTAAATGTTTTGAGACTAGGGACCATTTCACATTTAACTTAGTGACACCAGTATGCAATACAGTGCCTGGCACATAGTAGGCATTTCTGAACTTTTCTTGAATAAATGGGTAAACAAATAAGTAAAAGAAGAAAAGGGAGAAGGAGGATGATAAAAAGAGAGGAAGAAAGGCTCAAAGGAAGAGAGAAAAAGATCTGACCTATCAACTGATGATAAGCTTGTCTGACAGGATATCAACGTGAGATCATCACTTGGAGAAATCCCTGCACGTCCAGCTCGGGTCACTGCACACTTCCGCCACATACATCTCAAATAAATCAGTAACTTAATGAAGAGAAGAAGAAGGAAGGGGATGTGGCAGAGTGTATGCCACCCCTCTTTGCCGTAATTATCCCTAAGAGAATGAGGAAACACTGGCTACAAGTATAGGTGGGACAAAATGCCTGGATTTAGGTATTATATTTATTTAGTAAGGCAATAGATATCTTCCATTTTCTTCCTAGAGCTTATAGCTGTTGAAAAGTTGTGTCATTTGTATGTTTTCATGTTTTCTGTCCCCTCACTAGAATATCAGCTCCACAAGGGAAGAAATCTTAACTACCTTGTTCAGTGCTATGTGACCAGTAGAATTCCTGCTCCATAGTAGGGGCTAATAAATATCTGTAGAATGAGTGAATTCACAAACAAATCTAAATCTTAGCTGTACCATTTAAGCTGTGTGACCTTAGGCAAATTACTTACCCTTTCTGGGCCTCAGATTTGCCCTCTCTAATACATTTGCAGATTGAATGAAATAGTAGACGTAAAATGTTAGCACAATGCCTAATACATACAAGAACTAAGAAAAAAAGCTTTAGTGCCAAGAGATAATTTCTAAATAGTATTAGATCTCCCCCAATGATATTCCCTTTTGTCTCCTGACTCCTCTCATTTGAGAGAAGCTAGGTCTTGAAAGTGATCATTGTTCCAGGAAAGATGGCAGAATAGAAGCACAGGGGAGTTGATCACTGGCTTTTGAGTTTTAAAAGTCCTTCATGAGTTTGTTCATGGATTGTAGAGACTATCTGAGAGTAAGCACAAAGTTTTTCTGCTCACCATGCCTTTCCTCTACTGCATTTCTAGCTAAATTAAAGTCCTTATACTGGGAGATGGAAGAGAATCCAAAGGGACTTAGATGTCATGTGTCCCAGAAAGAAGAGGCGTTCACCACAGTGGAACATGGGAACATGCAATGACATTGTGGAAACAATGCAAACAGCACCGGGATCTGCCTCCCTGTCCAGGCAATAGGCCAGAGACAGCTTCCCAGACCCAGAGTGGAGTGGGAGCAGCAGGAAGAAGGGCTGCCCTCAGTCGGACCCTTCTCCCTGATGTCTTGTACATCTTAGGACAGTCGGACAGGGGTGAAGAAGACCTCCTAACTGATGGGGACAACTGTCTGACTCACATCAGATATTCACACTGGACACTTTCAAGGATGGCAAAATTTAGCTTGGCTAAAAATTAAGTGTAGTTATAAAATAAAAGTAAGCTTGCACAGCTGAATTTATGACAATAGCATAGGGCTAAGGAGAACAGGAGGAGAAGAGCTTACCAAACAGTGGGTACTACTGATGGGAACACCAAGTAGAGAGAAAAAGGTGATGAGGCAGGAAGATGAAGGCAGCAGCTTTATCCAGCTTAGAATTGTCTTGCTCGTGTCTATGGTCCTTTATACTTGGAAGCAAATGTCACCTCCGATTCTGACCCTTTTACGTGCTAACTGAGCAGGTCTGTTCTTTTTACCTCACTCTCCTCATGTGTAAATTGGTATCCTAACTGCTCCTAGTCTAATTTGTTTTATGCCATGATGAAGTGAGATATAAAAGTTATTTATAAAATGTAAGTTGCTATAGAGATGCCAGGAATATTTGATATTTTTATACTTACATAAATAAGACTTCTATCTAGGACCATTGCATACATAGGTAAGAAATACCCAAGTCATATTTGTGGACAAATACCCCAGGAATATATTTGCAGTTTCAGGAATCTAACCTTAATCCTCTGATTGTTTAATCAAGATCCTTTCCACAAATATGTACACGAGTGGGAGGATCAGTGTAGGCTGTGCAATCAAGTATTTAGACCATTCTGGGATTTAGATCTTTCTGAAGAACTTAACACAGAAGAAATAATATGTTTCTGCCTCATGTGTCTGTCTCTGAAACTGGCCTCTATCAGTATTTAAGTTACACGGATATCAGTGGTGATGACTTTCTTTTTCCAAGAAGGGAGACTAGAAAAAGCCACTTGTCATTTAAGATCATTTGGGGGTCCATTTTGCCTATTTGTTGAAAGGTAGCATTGTTTGTCATTTCTACTTTTCTGGAACTCTCTCAGTTTTCCTGAGAATCAAGGCAAGTTCTGTACACTCCCAACAGTGAAAGGAGAGAGGGCAGCCCAAGGGCAGGGAGCCTTTCTGTGCTTCCTCCTCATGTTTGCTCACTGCCACACTCTCTGTTACCAATGAGAGAGGCCATTCTTCATTGTCAGGCTGCTGAGAGATGTGAGACAGCGGCTGTGTTTGAGTAAGAAGGACAGCTTTTCTTGGGCTTGAGGTTTATAGGTTGGATACTATGGCAACACTCTGGGTAAAAGATATGATCAGTATGCAAATCATCATCACTATCATTATAGGACAGATTTCAACACATTAAAGGGTATTTTGTAATTATACTGAACATATTTATGTTTACTGCATTTCCTTATCTCAATTTTAAATTAAGCAGACCCATTTTTAACGTAAAAGCTGCTCGTGTTGAACAATTTAGGGATAGACAATGAACTCTCACTACATTTAGGTCATGTCAGAAAAATTTCCCTGTCTCTACACCACTTGGAAACAGAAAAACTAAACAGTCTGTAAGTACGAAAGACAAACAGTTTCTATTTTTGTGTGGCTGCATAGTGTCTTCTTCTCTCATTACAATGTGCTGTGTATTCTTATTTTTTGCCTAAAGGATATTTTATAAGTAGTGCCTTACTAATTACACAAATTCAAGTAGACTTGACGAAGTACAAAAGAGAACTAGGACTGTCTGCACTGTAACTAGATTAGGCTTCTGCTCAGTGAGATCAGCAGGAAAGTAAATTTAAAGAACAGGACTGTTAGATTGTCTTTGCCAGAAGGCTCAACTCAAACTCCTTTCCAGCGAAACCGTGGCCTCAGCAGTTTTCTATCTATAGAGTACAGGGTTGGCTAAAACCTCTACGCCCTTCTAATTGTGGAAGTCATGGTTTTTAAGGTTGTGTCTCTTTTGTACATGTGTATAAGCCACTCTCACATTTAGGAAGAGATTGCATTTCAAACTGTATCCTCTGAACCCAAAACACTTTATTCACCCCACTCATTGGTCAGTTAATCACATGTCATATTAGACATTTGTTTCAGTTTCACATTTATTGTGACTTAATTCCTATATTCTTAAACATTTCCTGTTTGTGTATATTGTGTCTCCATATAAATGCAAAGGCTGGCTATGTCTCCCTCATCTGTCTCTGAATATCTTAGCAAGGGTCTGGTAAGGTAGGTAAGGGTATGTTGGTTTGATTAGGTGTCAAACAGGGAAGAGGAAGCTTCATAACAACTCCATACCTGTGAGCATGCCTTCATTCACCACGCAGTGTCCATCAATCAAAACAGCATCACACGGCAATGAAAATTTTCCTGGAAGAATAAGAACGTCTCCAGGAACCAAGAGACGGGATTCCAGCTCCTCCAAACCTACACCAAAGCAAAGTTTCCGTGACTAGCTGACCTCTTCTTGTTGTCACTTAAGATTGAAGGTAGCTAAGAATCCCTGTCAACCAGTTGGCCAAGAGCTACCCTACCTGTTCAACTGTTGAAGCCTCTTTTTATTCAATTGAAAATTCCAAAACAATCAGGATTAGGAAATTGGTTCCTGGGACACAGAAAAGGATCAGTTTTTCTTTATACAACAAGATCCCATCTTGACCCTAGTACCTGGTATGCTTTGTCCACAGCAAATACACAAGGGCACTGGGCATTGCCGAAGTTCAACTTCCTGCTGTTTGCTCTTGTCTAGGTTTTTGATTCCTGTGATACACTTTGTCTTCTTGGATTGAGGCCTTATGTAAATTGCCCAAATAACTTCTGCCATCCCAGGGTGCAGCTCCTCATTTTTTACAAAGAGCCACAGCTACCCCACCTCTGGCTAGCTCAGAGCAGATGCCAAGTGTCCAGACAGCTATCTAAAAGCCCAATTCTGGCCTAGGTTCCAGATGGTAGTTCAAATTGTGTGATGCAGAGTCCATTTGGGATAGATTGGGAAATAAAGGAGCCTTAAGAAGGTTTACCCAGTGTTATTCAATTGAGTGACACATGAAGGGAGAGAGAATTCGAAGGAACCCAGACGTTGGGTAAGAATAATTGAATGAGAGCTTGGGTGAGGGTAATGCAAGCAAGATGTCTAGTGTACAAAATTGAAGGAGGCACTTGTTCTCAGGGCCCCACAGCTGTGGGGTCAGCACTGGCATCATCTTGCCTCTTTAAATTTTCTGTCTTAGAGGCCTTCTTTTCCTCATCCTAGTCCTGGTCCTGGGTTCAATCCGAAAAGACTTTTTCTCCTTGACTAATAATTAAGGACGAATGAGACCAATTCCCCCCTAAAATATTAAGATACTGAAGATGGCCTAACACATCACTTACCTTTGTCTTTTACGATGATTGTAACCTGGACTTTGTTGTGGTCTTCCACGAGGTGATGCAGCTTAACTGATTGCTGCCAAGTAAAAGTCAACATTTAAATATTAGATAGTTCATATTCTGAAAACCACATGATCTCAATCCAGTAACCACCAGGCCAGGTCTCACAGCTAAATTGAATCTGGGCAAAGGACTCAACTTCTTTTGATGCTTCAGCTTCCCTGCTCCAACCCCTACCTCACCTGACCCCCTACATGCAGCAGCAAATATGCTCATTAGTTTAATGCTGTTTCACTCCCAAGAAAAAATAATGCACAGGGGCCTAAGCCAGGGAACCTGTTAAAAGAAACTTTTGACAAATTAAATTTACTGGAGTTTAATTGAGGAAGAAAAAAAAAAGTGATTCGCAAATCAGGCAGCCGCCAGAATGACAGCAGATTCAGAGAGACACCAAGGATGCCTGGTGGTCAGAAAAAAAATTAAAGAACAAAAAGAGAAATGACTACAGAAACTGGAAGTGAGGTACAGAAACAGCTGGATTGGTTACAGGTTGGAGTTTACCTTTTTTGAGCAGTTTGAACACTCAGCAGTGTAGGAGTGGTTGAAGTATGACTGCTGCATGAGTAGTTGAGGATTGTTACAGATGCATACTTTCAACTTAGGTTTTCAATCTTGTCTAACTATTAAGTTAGGTTAAGATTGGTCCACCAGGACTCAAATATAGAAGTATGGAGTCCTTCTGAGGCCATGTTTAGTTCACTTTAACAAACCAAAGCTACAGTTCTTGAAGATACATAATCAGGAGGAAGAAGAATGAGACTGTGAGAAGGCTACTTCCCTCTCTATGCTTCTGTCTCTCTGCAAAACAATGAAGCCAGATGTTCTCTATAAGTGGCTTTCTGCTTGTAAGTGTCTCTGTGAATGTTTAGGTTGTGTTTTGATCGCATGTGGGACAGCCATTCTCTTCTTTAGGGACTTGGATTTTCGTATTAAGTCTGCAGATGGGAGTTACGCTGTTCAGTTGTGAATCTTGCGCTACTGCTTATGAGTTATTTAGCTTGTTTAGCTCCTTTTTGCTCATCTGAAAGGGGAGATGATAATAGAATCTATAACACAGGGTTAAGTTTTAAGTTAGTTTATTCTTATAGAGTCCTCTGTATAATACCCAATACTATGCTAAGAGCTCATGACTGTTAGGGATTCATAAGAAAGTTGTTGGGAAAACAGTCGTGAGAGTACGTTAACTGGAAAGACTTGCTTGAGAGAGTTTTTGAGTTAGAACTCTGTGAAAAGTGGAGAAGATGGAAGGGGCCCAGAGAAGTGGAAAAAGCATCTTAGAGGATAACACAGGAGACAGAAAGTCAGAGGTGAGAGAGAATTTCATCCATGCCGTTCCCCAGACTGACTGTTGGGACATCATCAGCGAGAGAAAGTTCCATGCTGGGCTAACCCAGGAAGGTGTTGCCTCTTACTGTTTGTATATCGGTGACTTGGATGCCTCTTACTAGAAGTGGATTGAATACTGTCAACAATATTTAATTCACCTGACTTAACTCAAATTTAAAACTATTTTTCTTTTAGCTGTTAAATTGTTTGGATCTGTTCTTTTGGTGATATTTAATGTTACAAATGTCACCAGGCTAAGAAAAGCATTACACATAGTTATGTAACTTTCTCCTTGAGATAATGAACCAAGTGTTAATATTTACATGGAAAAATTTATGATTTACTTCAGTTTTGGATGAAAAGCTAAACTTTGGTAATTTGGACCAATTGAGTGAAGAAAGCGATAGTACTGTTTAGTGCATAATCATTGCTCTAAGGTGACTTCCTGACGCTTAACCGTTGGGGCATGCATTTTTTTTTTTTTTATTTTTATTTTTGAGATGGAGCTTCACTCTCGTTGCCCAGGCTGGAGTGCAATGGTGCGTTCTTGGCTCACCACAACCTCCGCCTCTTAGGTTCAAGTGATTCTTCTGCCTCAGCCTCTCAAGTGGCTAGGATTGCAAACATGAACTACCACGCCAAGCTAATTTTGTATTTCTAGTAGAGAGGGGGTTTCTCCATGTTGGTCAGGCTAGTCTTGAACTCCTGACCTCAGATGATCTGCCAGCCTCAGCCTCCCAAAGTGCTAGGATTATAGGTGTGAGCCACTGTGCCCGGCCAAGGGTATGCATTTTAATGATGCATAATAATGCAAAAGTCATCTGTGGCTCTGTGGGCAAAGAACACCGGAGTAAGCCAGGATTTCCGAGTTGTAGGTCAGACATGTCCACTAACCAGTCAGGTAATGTGCGTATATAAGAAATTGTGCCTTAGAAGTTAGTCATTTCCTCTGTAAACAGACAACACTGAATGGGATCACTTTCAAGTTATACCTTAAAGCTACAAAATGATATAACATTGATGTATTTGGCATGTCAGAGACTTATTTAAAACCCACAAGACATCATAGAAGAAATACACATGGTATATAAAATGACTCAAATCATTATTATTTTTACATAGTTTAAAACATTAAGCAGTTATTATGTGCCAGGCATTGTTGTAGGCACTTGAACTACAGTATTTGATTTCTTTAATCCTCAAAATAATCCTATGATGAAAATGTTGTCTCCAACATACATGTAAAAACCAAAAACTGGGGTTGAAAATATTAAAGTAACTTTCTCACCGTCACTTACTTACTAAGTAAACCTAGGTTCATCTGACCCTAAAGCCTTTTCTGTTGATGAATAAGTTCTTCTAGTGCTTAAAAACAGCTTTTTTTTTTTCATTAAGAAGATAAAAATCCTTCTGGATTTCTTTAATTTTTTTTTTTTTTTTGGCTTAGTAAACTCATTTAGATAATGCCGTAATAAATTCAGCTTAGCATGAGAGGATAATAATCAACACATTTAGAAGTGGTCAAGTGTGGGTTAACAATACTTGACTGTAATTCTCAAAACTCATTATGCTGTAGAGCTGGATTGGTTTATTAGACTTAGCATCCTATATAACCTGTCACGCTTCCATGCCTCTGCTCAAGCTATTCCCTAGAATGTCCACTCCAATTTTCTACTAGCAAACTCTTTCTAATCCTTCACATAAAGACCTATTCAAATGTCACTTCCACTCCCTAGGTCCCTGCAATCCCCAGGAAGGATTCATTGTTCTGTTCTCTCCACCTGTGTGAGTTAACTGATCACATTCCATTACAGCTATCTGCTGTCCTGTCAGGTCTTTCTTGTGAGTCAGGCAGTAGAGAGAAGAAAGGCACCCTGTATATTATGCATCTGTGGATTCCTCCAGGGCTTATCACATAGTAGGCCCTCATCAAATATGTATTTGTTGGAACCAAATTATTCTACTTCTCCCAACAACACTGGAGTGGGATAATGTTAGCATCCTCTTTAAGTTAATGTACTCAGAAAATCTACAAACACAGGTTTCTATGGCAACCAACTAGCTGGGAGAAGGCAAACACTGCAATGCTTGCCATGGCTGCAAAGCTCATTGCCTGATTTTTATTAGGCCCCCTCTAGTTTCTTCTGTCCCTGTTCAGCGGGACCAGGATCAATTTCTAACATGAATTTGCATATTGTTACTGTTCAGCATCTGTTGCTGTGTGTCCTTGTGTTTGCTGTGGCTGGACTTCCTCCAGAGATGAGTAATGAGGGTATTAACTCAGGTGCCTCTTGAGCTTGGCTTAGTCATGACTGAAGGCAAAGAACTGTGGACCAGATACTCTCAATGCTATTTCTAGCAGCCAACTGTGGAGCTCAGCAAGACAGTATGCACATACAGTTCAATGTAAATACAGTCGAGTACCATGGTTCACACTCACGCCTGCACCAAACTTGTTAGAAAGGGACTGAAGCAGGAGTGTTTCTTGGCTTAGGAAAGGTAAGCTTTCTTTGTGTAGCATGATTTGAGGCCACAGTAGATGCAGAAAAACATGTTATTCTATTCCTGCAAACACTTACTCTCTTACAATTTTCAAAAGCCTGTGTTTTTAAGGCTTTCAGTGAAATAACTAAGTTCAGTGTGGCTCAACAGGATTTGAAGATGGCAATAGATGCTACTTCTTTCATTCCTGCCAAAGCCCTTCCCCAAGTCTTACTGCTGCAAGGAAATTCATGAGTCACTTTGAGATTGTGCTCAGTGACACAGTGTGTAGTACTTGACTTGGAATCAGAAAACCTGGGGCTAAGGTCTATTGGCCACTGTTACTGGGTGAGTGTGAACAGGTCCCTTTATCTCCCAGATGTTCCTGTCCCTTCCTCTCAGGTGGTAGGAGGCTATAAAAATCATGTGTGTTTTATTACGCAATTTGCCAGGTTCCACACAAGCACATACATTATTAATGTGGGCACCTATTGTAAACTGTAAAGTGCTAAACAGATGTTGATGATTGAGGACTTGTGATTTAAATTGCAAATATACAGTTTCAGGAAACTGGCTTATTTTGTGTAGGGTTACAAGGTGCTTTACAGATTGGGTTAGGTACACTTTTATTAATAAATACAGGCTGCTAATGAGATTAGTGTTTGTCCTCTAATTCCTTTTTTGTTTTTTAAAGAAATCCTTTACAATACTGCCATCAAGTCTAAAGTTCCATTATTAGCCACTGTTTTGAACAAAGGAATGTAGGGATTCTGTTAAGATGCGGAACCTGAATGTTTAAATTCCAGTAAGGATTTTTAAATAAGCAAATTACAAGGATTAGAAAATAGGTATTACCTAACTTTGGAAGGGGAGACCTAATAAGCAAAACAATAAATTATAATGGAAAAGAGAAACATATTTTACTCTACCTAAATTTTCAAGTATAGCTAAGTCAAAGTCAAGAGAAAAAAGACTAAAAAGTAAAACTTTTTCACAAAAATGATGAATATCAAGAAGCCCTTAATATAAAATGAAAATACAAAACACTATTAGACAAAAAAAGTACTTAGTCTCACCAGCAATCAGGAAAATGTACATTAAAACATCAAGGAGACCCAATTTTTAAATACATTAGATTTAAAAAATTATAAATATTAATATATAACTCCAGAAACTGATGAATCTGGGGGAAATAAATACTCTTGTATATTTCTGAGAAAAAAAATTCATTTGTGGAAAACAATATAGCAGCATCCATTAAAATTCAAAATATACATTGATTCAGTAACCTGGCTTTTGGTTGCCATGCTAAAAAAATGCAAACACTAATATATAAGAACATGCCTGTACTGTAGTTATGTTTAATTCAACATTATTCGTGGTAGCAAAAGACTGAAGGGAAATTACTTTCAACAAATAACAGAATGGTTGAATAAATTATGATATATCACAGAATATTATAGTATTATTTTTAAAACATGAATTATTTATTTACTTGATGAATTGCCATTATATATAAAGTGAAAAATGAAAGTTCCAGATTAATGTGCATAGTAAGATCCTATTTTAATTTTAAAAATTAATAATAACATAAATCTCCATATAAACTGGTATATATATATATATGCACTTAATAGAGTGAGTGAAAAATATGATGATGGCGTTAATAAATAAATACATATATCTGGGATCTTGGTGTTCGAATTTATCCTTCAGTGGGTTCCCTTATAATAATCATTCTTAAGCTTTCAGAATGCATAGTAATCATTAGTTGTAAAACTTTTAAAAATGAAGATTCCAACCCTGGATATTTTGATTTAATAAGCCAGAAGCTCAGAAATGTCGGGAAATTCTCTTGCTAAAACACTGTCTTATTGAGTATAGAATCAAACCTAATTTCTTCTACAACCCATCCCCTAACTCCCACACACGAATTTCTGTATTTTTTTGGGATTCCCATAAAGATATACATGAATATCAAATGAAGATATAGACATTATAAAGGACTTCTAGGAAACGTATAGAACAAACATAATATTTAAGTCAGGGGAAATATGTGAAATGCACATAGTTGAGATGCTACCCCTTCATTCTCCTAAAACTATGGCTGGCATCATGAATACATCACAGCATTCTTTCCCACCATACTCAAATACAGCCTCAGAGTCCTTCTAAACAAAGCATTCAACAAAGGCTTCAGATGATAATCAGAGTTTGCAAAAACATTTAAATCTTCCTGGTAGTCCCAAGGTCCTCCTTCTGTAATCCCACATTTGGTAAGCCCCCTCTTTTTGTTTCATGACCTATGTCTGACAAAGCAACTCCTGGCTCTCAGTAGAAAGTCCATGGGCTTTACTTATTTAGCTAGAAGCTAAATAGATTTCAGCTCTTACCTGTCTCAAATCATACACACTTAAGACAATGGAGATAACAGACAAAATGATGATGGCCACAGAGTATTCTATGTAACCTTGAGACAGCCACAAAGTTAGAGTGAAGGCTTGGAACACATAGAATGGATTTAAAACCTGCAGGTACAAAAATAGCATTTGAGTCACTTGCATGAACCTTATTGGCAATCAAGAAGATGTCATTTCATTATAGAATTTTTTCTCATTTTTTTTTTACAATATACAAAAACCTCTAATATTTAAGAATTCATTTAGATCTCTATTGATTTGGGTTGAGAAAATGTCAAACACATAGAATGTGATATGGTGGAAGCAAATTATTTTATGCATTCAGAGCCATGCCCACAAATTGATCATAATTTATTCTGAATTTCAAAAATATTTTACTAATAACAAAATTTGCGTGTGTGTGTGTGTGTGTGTGTGTGTGTGTGTGTGTGTGTGTGTGTTTCATTGTACTTTAGGTTATGGGGTACATATGCAGATCATACAGGATTGTTGCATAGGTTACCTTCTTAAACAGGTTTACTCATAATGGAGGAGGTACATGATTCAGTCTCTTTTAAAAATGTACTTCAGTTTTGAACAGTTTAATTGCAGTTTTATTTTTCATGTAATCACATGCTGCAGATTTAGTCAAGTTGTACAATGAAAATGAAAGATTCTACTTTTTATTCGGGTCACTTAAAAATAACATATCTTTCATGTAGCAGGTCTTAGCAAGGTCACATGAGAGTCAATCAAGTCCTTCTCTTGAACAAGGAGGAAGACTGGAGAGAAATGTCTTCCCCAAGGCTGCAGGACAAATCGTGGGCAGAAGGTATTACCAGCCGGAAAGCTTGTCATTCATATATGTTCATTTTTGGTGTCAGGAGAATACCTTCAGATTTTTTTGTTCCCTCAATTTTTCCCATTTGGGTCCTGCTAACTCCTGCTAGTAATGAGAGCAGAGAGGGCAAACCCGAGAAGCCAGAAAAAAGTCACGGGATATACACATAGAAAGTGAATTTAAGAGCCCATGAGAGCAAAGCAAGGATTATTTTTTTGAGGACGTATTCTTTCTAATCATTATGAATTGAATAAAATATTGCTTAAAACCAGTGGTACTCTTACCTCTATTTTCTATAATTCCCTTATGTATTAAATATAATTCTACTTTAGTTTTAAAAGTGAACTGACCTATGGTAAATAGGTTGGTGAGTGGTATGTTAAGGGCTGGGTATAATTTGTACATTAAAAAGATTTTATTCCTTAATGTTTCTTATTATTTCAATCCCCACTGCTTTACTTACGAATTACAGCTTTTGTTGTTTGCTTGTTATAAAATGCTCTAATTGCAGATTATGTACAAATGATAATACGATCTCTAGTTTAAATAAGCCCAGTAGAAAACTGGTGAAATACTTCTTGCAGAAGAAACAACACTATCCTAATTAATTTAGTTCTCTTATTTAATATTCTTTTGAAACCAAATGTAAAGAAATATTTGTACTTTTTTTTTTTTTCCTACTAAAGGGCTAGTAAATAGGTGCCAGAAAATATTAGCACTCCTTTCAAAAGAGAACAAACTGACCCCTGGAGAATCCTTGGCAATTTGAAAATGTATTTGAATAAGTTTAAAAAGCTGGCTACTTTTCGATAGTTAGGGAAAGTATGCCCATGTTAAGTCAGGATGTATATAGAAAATCTTTGTATGTTCTGCCCAATCTTGCTGTGAACTTAAAACTACTCTGAAAAATAAAATAAAGCAATCTGTTTTCTGCTCCAGACACAGAATAATATTAAATATTTTCTTAATGTTAAAAAGATACGCCCATGCTCAAAAACAAAATGACCATCTTTATGGGTTAGAAATACACTGGAAATATGCAGCATTGAGTGAGGACTAACATCATCAGATTCATAGGTTCCAGACAAGGACCTGACAGCAAAATCTAGGTGCTCTTTTCTCAGAGAAATAGAGACAGAATGTGTCCCTCAGGTGGCAGAAGATAGAAACAAGGTTTATGTTGGAAAACAGGGGTGGCAGTGGGCTTCCTGTTCCAGAATAGAGGCTCAGCAAAGTAATAACCAATGAGGGCTTACCAGCCAAAGTGGAATGGGAGAGAACAGAGTCCATGGTACAGCTGTGAACTGCGCCAAGCCTCAAGCTAGCTAAGGGCATGCATGTGACAAATCCCCAAAGGACAAGCACCCAAACCTTCAGGGACCACGTAGGGGCCAGTTGGAGACAAACAGAGCTATCAAAGAAGCACAGCAAGCACAAAGAGAAAGAAAAAAATTGAGGGAAAAGGGGCCCCCCTTAAGAAAACAAAAAAAAAAAAAAAAAAAAAAAAAAACAAGCATACAAGGAAGCTATTGTTAAAAACAAAAACAAAAATGAAACACTAACAAAGGGAGAAGTTACTCTCAAGAAAATGAAAATAATAAAGCAATTTGAAAAAGACCAAAAGAATACATTTCAAATCCTCAAAAATTATAGAAAAAATAACTGTCCGATGCTGTAGACTGAACATTTGTGTTCCAGCTAAATTCAAAGGTTGAAGCCCTAACCCCTAGTGTGATGGTATTTGGAGTCAGGCCCCTGAAAGGCAATTAGGTTTAATGAGGTCATGAAGGTAGAGGTCCCATGATGGGATTAGCGGTCCTTGTAAGAAGCGGAAGAGACCAGAGCTCTCTCTCCACCACGTGAAGACACAAAGAAAGCAATGGTCTGGAAGCCCAGAAACGGGTCCTCGCCAGGAACCAAATATGCAGGCACCTTGATCTTGGACTTTCCAGCCTCTAAAAGTGTGAGAAAATAAGTGTTTGTTGTTTAAGCCACCCAGTCCATGATATTTTGTTATACAACCCACGTGGACTAAGCCACCCCCCACCACCAACACAACCACCATCCAAACTTAAGAGAACAAAAACAAAGCAAACAGGAAATTATGAAGCAGGAATCTGCCTCTCACACTAGAAAGAAATTTTAAAGTAGATCTGAATTTAAAATAAGCAGTAACAAAAGAAGTTGTATGAAACAAGATATCATCACATTATTTATGTGCTCCTTCTAGGAAGTGTGATGTAAGGGGCAGAAGTCTATTTTTAAAAAAGAAAACAGTTACCTGTTTGACAAGCAGCCTCCATATGGGTTGGATTTCAACCTCAATGGTGTTGGGCCCACACACTAATCTTCTGTGGGAGAGTGATCATCCATTAGTGTCATCCCTACAAGCTCAGTGATGAGTGACTATAAGACAAACTAAGCAGAAGTCACTTTTCTACTCTTAGGAGATTCTGTAGCTTTGATTAAAAAAATAATGTGCAAGAACCTTTGAAACATAATTCTAAACTACTAATATACATTTGAAATGAAATTCAGTGCATAATGGACAGAGATGTATTCCTTGATAAAAAATATGTCTTAAGTATAGTGCAACTCAAAAAAAAGCTAGAAAGACATTTTCATTTTGGGTTACTTTTTTTTTTTGTTTTTTAAACAGAGTCTCACTCTGTCACCCAGGCTGGAGTGCAGTGGAATGATCTTGGCTCACTGCAACCTCTGCCTCCCAGGTTCAAGCGATTCTTCTGCCTCAGCCTCCCAAGTAGCTGGGACTACAGGTGTGTGCCACCACACCAGGCTAATTTTTGTATTTTTATTAGAGACGGGGTTTCACCTTATTGGCCAGGCTGGTCTCGAACTCCTGACCTCATGATCCACTCACCTTGGCCTCCCACAGTGCTGGGATTACAGGTGTGAGCCACCATACCCAGAATTGAGTTACTTTTACAATAATTTTATTGTATACTAAAAGCAGCAAAAAAGACACAGCTATGAAGTTGTTCCTTGATTTGTCAGGCATTCTAGAGTGCCCTGGATGTTAGAAGTCATGTCTATCTTACATTGCTAGCTCCAGCACCTAGAACAGGCCCTTAGTACATAAACTGAATAAATACATAAGTGAATGCGCATATGACCTGGAAAATATGGCCTTCATGGCTAACACTTGGTAAATATATGCATTACACACAAGGTGTAATACTTACGTGTATTACAAGAATGCATGTTTTTATGCTATTTTACTACTAACAAAGTATTTACAAAAGTTTCATTTGATCCTCACAATAGTCCAAAGGAAAAGGCTGATATCCCTACTTTGCCAATGGAAAAAATTATTCAGTCTGGCATGTAGGCAAAAGTGAACACATCTAGTATTAATCACGACAATGTAACTTTTAAACGGAGTTGACAGTGTCAGAAACCGCACTTAGCCTTTTATATGCATTAACTCCTTCGATCATCACATTATTCCCATGAGATTTCATATTAGCATCTATTGTAGTAAAAACTGAAGTTCAGATAAACCAAGAAACTTTTCCAGGATCACAGAGCGAGGAAGAGACCGGCTTTGTAGCATGGTATATGACTCCACTTCTCAAATCTGCCACAGCAAGTACCAATGGGGAGAATCCAGAAATCTTTGGTTTCACTGAGTGATAGCAGAAAACTGAGCCCAAGTTTATCTCACTTCTTAGCCATATTTTTTCCAAGTGCAATTGTAGTTTGCAAAGGACAGAGAGAACTCAAACCAAGGTCTTCTGACTCCATGCCATGAAAACACTGAGGGTCAAGGATGTTGGGAATCAGAGAGTACAAACAGCCTGTCATGCCCTTTGACTTCTTAAGTCCCTACACCTCACACTGGAAAGAGACCATAAATCAAACCATCTTGGTCCTCAGGACTCTTTTGCACAATCTGGGGCAATAATCTGTCGTTAACCAAAGTGCCAGAATCTAGGATCCCAAACTTGATCCTCCTCTGTCTCTCTCTCTGCTTTGAATGCCCTTCCCACATTCCCACAGTTTGTAAATGCCTACTCAGCCTTTGAGGACCAGATCTGACAATCAAGCCTAATGGTTGAGACCTGTGGGATCAACTAGACCTGGATTTGAATCGAGATAAGACCTTGTGCTTGCTGTTCCTGGAACTAATTTTCCCCACAACTTCGTATGGCTTACTCCCTTAGTCCCTGTGTGAAACAAGGATGTTCCCTTGTGGAAACAATTTCATTCATTCTCTGTTCAAATAGCACCTCCTTATTAGGGTTTTCCCTAACAATGCTACTTAAAATAGCTACCCTGACTCTCAGTTCAGATTCTCCCTATCTCGCCTTATTTTTCATTATCGTGTATATTAATTACCTGAAATTACAAGTTATGTTTTACATTTTAATAAGCATGCAGATAAAAGACTACATTCTCCACTATAATATAAGCTTCCAGAGGACTTCGATATATTCCTAATGCCTAAAACAGAGCCTATTATATGTTGAATGAATGAACTGATGGCTGAATGAGGGGTCAGCCTCATTTTTCTCATCTGTAAAATGGGTTTTATAAAACATACCTAATAAAATTTCTATCAAGCTGAGAGTATGGCACACACCTGCAGTCCCAGCTACTTGGGAGGCTGAGCCAGGAGAACGGCTTGACCTCAGAAGTTTGTATGAGACTAGCCTGGGCAACACAGGGAGACCTTCATTTAAAAAAAATACTATCAGTTGCATATGAGATAAATACATAAAGCATTTAGTTCTCAATAAATGGCAGCTATCTTTGAAATCTTACTCCCTCTGGCACAGTTAACTGTATTTTTCTCCCTTCCAACAACCTTTCCTTTCTTAGCAACAGCACTTACACCATTAAATTACAATGTATATTTACATGTCTTTCCCCTCAAGTTTCCTAGAGCCTTTTTAAAGGCAGAAACAGAGATTTTTAAACACTGTTTAAAAAATCTAGCATTGGCCGGGCACAGTGGCTCATGCCTGTAATCCCAGCATTTTGGGAGGCCAAGGTGGACAGATCACCTGAGATCGGGAGTTCAAGACCAGCCTGACCAACATGGTGAAACCCTGTCTCAACTAAAAGTACAAAATTATTTAGGTGTGGTGGTGCATGCCTGTAATCCCCAGCTACTTGGGAGGCTGAGGCAGGAGAATCCCTTGAAACTGGGAGACAGAGGTTGCAGTGAGCCAAGATTGTGCCATCACACTCCAGCCTGGACAACAAGAGCAAAACTCCGTCTCAAAAAAAAAAAAAAAAAAAAGTCCAGCATCTAGTGGCACAGTGTCTGACCTAGCTAGAGGATGTTTCCTAAATATTAAAATTAATTAATGAGGTTCAAGGCAGTACACAGGTTGTGGAAAGCAGTTTAGAAAGCAAGCCTAGGGTCTGATGCTATTTGGCTCTTCAAGTTTGGCAATATTACCTCTAAGAGAGAAGAGCTCAGATCCCATGAGGACTGGGATCCAGTGAATCAATATTTACTTGTAGATTATCCTCTTTATGGCTCATCTGAGCCATATTTAAATCAAAGCCTGGCATGTCCCTTGCTGCTTTGTCTCTTCTACTGCTTCTTGCCAAAAAACATTGTGTGTTTAGAGACCATGTACCCAGCTCAGTTTCAGCACAAGCCAAGCAGAATGTTCGGCGCATTGACCAATGACTGAGCAAGGGAAGAAATATGAGATTTGAAGCTGGTTCACATGCGGAAAGGTCTCAGAAAAAGGGAGCTGACATTCCCTGACTAAAAACCTGAGCAACTGGCAGGGAAAACAGGACCCAGATTGTTCCCAGGGGCTTCACAGAAAAACATAGGCCAAATAAAATTAAGCAGACTTGCCTAATAGTGATAACTATCCATTAGAAGAGTTGCTTTGGAGGTAGATGCTTCCTTTCCAGGAGCAGAGCGATTTCTCAGCAGGAAACTTGTGGAGGAGATTTCTGCAGGGACCATGGGCTAAACTTGAGGAATCACTGGGGTTTCCTCCAACCCTGAGATATTAGTAAATCTGTTAGAAGTTCTTTCTTTCCTTTTTTTTTTTTTTTTTTTTTTTTGGTGATGGAGTCTTGCTCCATTGCCCAGGCTAGAGTACAGTGGCACAATCTTGGCTCACTGCAGCCTCTACCTCCTGGGTTCAAGTGATTCAACCTCTGCCTCCTGTCTCAGCCTCCCAAGTAGCTGGTACTATAGGCATCTACCACCATGCTCAGCTAATTTTTTGTATTTTAGGAGAGACAGGGTTTCACTGTGTTGTCCATACTAGTCTCTAACTCCTGACTTTGTGATCCACCTGCCTCAGCCTCCCAAAGTGCGGGGATTACAGGCATGAGCCACTGCAGAAAACCAAATACAGATGACTAAAAATACTTTCTCTTGAGGGAGGTCCATGTCCCTTTTTATTTGTTGTTTATTCATTCATTCAAGTAACTTACCAAATAATTGTTAAGAATATGTTATGTGGTAGGCACTTTAGGCTCCAGGTGGTAAAGACTAGAGGAGTCAAGGAGGAAGGAAGGGCGTGTTAGAATTATGGTGGAGCTTTTTCAAACTACACCTGTTTTTTGCTCACGGCTTCCCTTCTGGTAAGTTTCCGGTAGGGTCTCTGCCAGGCAGGGACGTCTAGAGTTTTCCAAACACACAATGCCAGGCCAGGAGATTCTGGCATAACCCATTTCCAGGAGCTTAGGAATTTTTAGGAAGCAGACATGTAGAAGTGGAGAAAGTTCCCATGTGATTCTGTTAGCGAGTTCCTCACTTCCCTAACACTCTTGTTTTATAAAGAGAGGAAGACCTAAGATATTCACAGATGCATACGATATGGCATCCAACTTCTGGGATTTGGATGTAGTTGCATCGTACAACAAGATGCTGGCATTGGAGCCCTTCTATTAAAAACAATAATAAAAACAAGATTAGTAAGTGTTGAGAAATTGCTTTATGGAAGGAAAAAAATCTCTATTTCATTACACATTGAACCTGCTTATGTACTTTTAATGAAACATTTATACAGAGAATGTATCTCCATTTTACAAATGACATGAAAGTTATTTTAGTTTTTCACATTAGTCTTCATCTGTGAGCTGCCCATTTCTTTCATTGCCTAAATTGCACGTTTTCAGGTAGCCTCAGGAAAACTCGGGAAGTTGGGCTGTTAGAGGATTTCAAGCTCTCATGTGAGCTAAGTGAGACACTTCCGGCCAGCTTTTCTGGGGAAAGGCCCTGAGTCTTCCTAGGCATGGGGATGCAGAAGGGAAAGGACCAGGAAGACATCAGGAATGGAGATGGGGTTACAAAGAAACCCATGCAGGATCCTGCCAAGGAGATTCTGGACTTAGGTTTACTGGTGCCTCTGTAGGGCTTTGCTCTAAAATAAGGCATTAGAGTTAAGTGATTTTGTACTTGAAATGGGCCCAGGTCCATAGAACCATGGATCTGCTCATTTATTAAAAAAGAAAATGATTGGATCATGAGGTCAGGATTCAAGACCAGACTGGCCAACATGGTGAAACCCCATCTCTACTAAAAAATACGAAAATTAGCTGGGCATGGTGGCTGATGCCTGTAATCCCAGCTACTTGGGAGACTGAGGTAGGAGAATTGCTTAAACTGGGACCCAGGAGGCAGAAGTTGCAGTGAGCGGAGATCATGCCACTGCACTCCAGCCTGGGCTCCAGAGAGAGACTCCATCTCAAAAAAAAAAAAAGAAAATGATCTCAGTCCATTTAATTTTTATTAAATGCCTTATGCATTACATTTTAAAGAAAATATATATACATGTTATATTTTTAAGTAACTCATTAACTTCTGGTTGAATACTAATAGTTGAGACTATGTTATTGGCCTCCAGAAGAATGAGCAAAGCCCCTTTCCTCTTCTCCAAACAGCCCTTTCTTGATCTTTCTGTAAATGCTGACCTGATGGCTGAGTATCTACTACAGGGCTGTTTTCTAGAGGTGGTTTCAAAGGGGATAGAGGTCATGGTATATCACCATGGTTTCTAGCTTTTCCTTCCCCAAGACTGCAGAGTAAGAGAGTAAGGTCTCATAGTAGGCTCCCTCTATCTCTCTCACCTTTTGTTTCTTCTTTCTCTCTCTTCTAATGTTCTGTGTTCTCATGAAACAGTTTCTGTCAGCTTGAAGTTACGTATTAATGGCAAACCTACCTTCTCTCGCTGTCTGTTACTCGGATTCCTTTTCCCTGGTGCTGACAAGCATGCCTTTTCTCTCAACGCTGTGGTAAACATTGAGAATTAAATTTGGCCTTGCAGAATCACTAAACCAAGGGGAGCATCTCTTCCCAGCTTCACATTCGGTGATGTCACCTTGGTGGCTTAAGTTGTCCATGGATGGGACATTCCCACCATAGAAACCAGCAAACCCTATGTATCAAAGCTTTTTTTCTTCCTGAGAGCTAGGTCACCAGGCAGGTGATTGGTCTGGACTTAACCCCAAGAGTGTGTGTGTGGTGTGTGCGTGTGTGTGTGTGTGTGTCTGTGTGTGTGTGTGTGTGTGTGTGTGTGTGTGGTGGCGGAGAGTGGAGTGGTAGAGAGAGAGTCCTTCCATTTCTACTGCCAGAAAGTCATTTACTCCTTTTATATTCTGGAGCCTAAACAGAAGGGACAGAAGCAGGTTGGGTGGGCTGAATGATAAAGAAGGTGAAGAGATGCTCACCTCATAAACGATCTTAATAGGAAGACTACTTGACTAGTTGAGGAATCAGGTAGGGTTTTTTTCCCCCCCATAGGGCCTCACTTTTGTGATACAAAAGAATTGTCTTTTGACTTGTCTAGGACAGGTACTAAGATGGCAGATTGAGTTCAGTTCATGACGGGTGAAGCTAGGAACGCGGAACTCCTGGGAAAATTTACTTGTTCTCTTCCTGATACCTTCTCACAATGTCTCTCCAGGGTAAAGTTGTTTCTCCTGATGTTCTGATATGCTTTTGCTACTGAAAAGTGAGAGCTATGTAAATCTGTGCATTTTCTCTCTTTACCTGGCTGCTAGGAAGCAAACAGAAAAATTCGCCTGTAAACTCTGTAGCCTTTAATCAACAGAGATTCTTGTGTATCCCCCTTCATTTGCCATGTTATCCACTTGCTTTTTAATGTAAGAGAGCTCAAATTCACCTAGGAAATTGGCAAGATATTACTCAATCATCCATCACACTTAATTTCTTTAAAGATCTTACTCTTACCCTAAAAAAATGAAGGAAAAAAATCTTTCATATTCTATTTACTCTTTTTTCACCCCCCAAATAATATAAACATGACTATGTTTCTAAGTAGCTTTTCTCCTCCATTCTTCATATTTGGAAAATGATACTATTTGTCTTGCTTCTTAGATTGTCAAGTTCTATATTGTCTGGGTCAGATTTTTTTTTTTTTTAAGACAGAGTCTCACTCTGTTTCCCAGGCTGGAGTGCAGTGACATAATCTCAGCTCACTGAAACCTCTGCCTTCCGGATCCAAGTGATTCTCCTGCCTCAGTCTCCCAAGTAGTGGGACTACAGGAACACGCCACCACGCCTGGCTAATTTTTGTAGTTTTAGTACAACGGAGTTTCACCATGTTGGCCAGTCTGGTCTCAAACTCCTGACCTCAGGCGATTCACCCACCTCGACCTCTCAAAGATCTGGGATTACAGGTGCAAGCCACCATGCCCCGCTGTGGATCAGATTTAAATTTAATTATGTACGATGTTTATTAAAGTTTGGTGCTTGATAAATAAGAAAAAAACATGAGGTAGCTGCACTGACAAGAAATCGTTCCTGTGGAAGTGGTTACCTAGGCAGAGTATGTCTACATTTATCAACTAGAATTCTTAAATGTCCTGGAAAGATCTTTTACATGTCTTGTACTTAATGCTATTAAACCAACATATTTTTAATGACTTTAAAAACTTTTTTGTGTTTCAATGTATTAAGCATTACATCTGAAATCTTACATAATAACACAATATTGTCCTAGACCAGATGTCTGTTTCATTTTTCATAGTGTCTGACAGAAGAAAAACTTAAAAACAGCAGATCGGCAAATCTTAGCCTTGGTGTGTGTGAGAAGTATGGGGGTTGCTTACTAAAAATGCATCTCCTCTCTTATAAGTACCCCTTGCTCCTATAGAACTATTGGAATTATGAGGGTGGAGCCTAAAACCTATATTTTTAAGTATCAGATTACTTCTTAGCTTGAGAATCGGTGTTTCTGGTTGACTGTAAAGGTTAAGCAGCCACTCTCTCTAAAAATGGGTGAGAAATAAAGATGATTTTAAGATTTTGATCATAAAATGAGCATCTCCCGGCTGTGCCCCTCGGGTGGAAGGGGCCAGATACAGCAGCTGCTCAATTTCATTGTGTTGATTTTCTTCCCCCTTCCAATTAGGGATCTTAATTACTTTCAAAATATTTTCAAAAAATATATATTTTAAAAGTCCTTAAAAAGAACAAGATTTTGAGGAAGACTTGTAATGATTTTCTTTCAGATTTGCTAGGATTCACCATTTCAAATAATAGCTGAAGAAATCAGGGCCTCTGCATCTCTGTGAGTTAATAACAGTGTGAGCATTTCCTAATGTATGTGCATCTATAGGTACCAATCTCATGATTGCATTACTATTTTTGCCTTTCTTTCTCACTAGTCAGTGTCTCTGGGACAATGACTAAACCTTTATCTTCAGATCCCTAGTTCCTTGCTAGGTGCCTATTTGTTAGTTAACAAATCAATGAATATATTAATTTATTCATTTACTATCTATTGAGCTCCTACCCGGAATCAAGCCCTGCTCTGGGTGCTGCAGATATAGTAGTGAATAACACAACTAACTGAACAAGCAAAATCCTTATCTCCAGGACTAGCTCTTCAGAGCAAAATGCAATCACAGTATTGTCTTTCTGTCTCTCTGAGAATTTGGAGGAAGGGAATTACTCAGCATATTTTTAAGAAAGAAAAAAAAAAATAAGACAACACAAGGATGATTGCTCTACAAGCCTGAGATAAAAGATCAAATTTTATATGATTGCCTTGTTCTTTTAGTCTTTGTAAAAATAAGGTTGCCTAAGAAGAGGGCAATTTAGAATATCTCTGCTGCCAGTAAATGAACTTAGACTGTATCAAGCTGATGAAGCATTCTGCCAACAATGCACTGATGATAACTGATTTGATACTTCGTTTTCTGCTTGCAGAGTTTACTCTTAAGGAGTATGATAAATCCTACCTGACTTCTTGCTCTTCACTGGTCAGACCCAATCCAAATGTCTGATGGATGTCAAAGCAGGAGTTGCTGTCCTCTAGCAACCTAGGATGTAGTCAGGGTAGGAACCAAGCTTCAGTTCATAGCACTTAACAAATCAGTGCTTTTCCCCTGTATCCTGACTTAGGGGCAACGAAACATTGTACTCACCCAACTTTCTGAAACCGCTTCTCCAGGTTGTTCCAAACATACCTGATTTTCTGCACTTGGATGCATCGCAGCTACAATTACAAATGTGATGGAACTGGTGTCATTCATATCATAAAGCTCATCAAGAGAGGGGAGTGGTGCTTAATACAGGATGCAGGTCCCCTTGTGGGTCTTTTTTTTTTTTTTTTTTTTTTTTTGAGACAGGGTCTCACTCTGTCACTCAGGTTGGAGTGCAGTGGCATGATGACCACTCACTGTAGCCTTGACCTCCCAGGCTCAATCAGTCCTCCTGCCTCAGCCTCCTAAGTAGGTGGAATTACCAGCATACACCACCACACCCAGCTAATTTTTGATTTGTTTATTTATTTTATTTTATTTTTTGAGATGGAGTCTCGCTCTGTCGCCCAGGCTGGAGCGCAGTAACACAATCTTGGCTCACTGCAAACATCTCCTCCCGGGTTCAAGCGATTCTCCTGCTTCACTTTCCGCTGGGATCACAGGCGTCCACCACCATGCCTGGCTAATTTTTGTATTTTTAGTAGAGATGGGGTTTCACCATATTGGCCAGGCTGGTCTCAAACTCCTGACCTCATGATCTACCTGCCTCAGCCTCTCAAAGTGCTGGGATTATAGGCATGAGCCACTGCACCTGGCCCTTGATCTTTTTTTCTTTTTCTGTTTTTTTTTAAACATAGATGAAGTTTTGCCATGTTTCTCAGGCTGGTCTTAAACTCCTGGGCTCAAGTGACCACCCATGTTGGCCTTTCAAAAGTGCTGGGATTACAGATGTGAACCACCATGCCCAGCCTGTCTCACTTTCTTTGATACATAGCTGTTATTCCCATTCCAAAAGTGTGATATTCAGAACTTTCATTTGATAAACACTTATTTTGTACTTTCTCTGCAAACATGCCATAACACTGTACTCTTCAAATAACTTACTTTTAATTCTGGCTTTAGTAAGGCTTGGTTTATGACAGAGTGGCGGTCAGCCACCAGGGATTCTTTCCACTTTTTGCTTACAGGAAACTTCAGTGTGGATAGGTAGAGGCAGAATACCTTCTTCCTCATATATCTTTGAAATTCGTCCTAGAAAAGACAATCCAGTTCATGAAATTCTCAAGTGTTATTCAGTAAGGTACTCAATCAACCAAATACCTACCAAGTGCTAGACAAGGGTTTTCAGAGTTTGGTACAAAACTTTGACCCAAACAAGAGTATCAGCTTTATCCCAGAACTGACTAGAAATGTGCATTCTCAGCCCCACTTCAGACCTACTGAATTAAAAACTCTGGGTGGGACCAGGAGTTCTTGTTTCTATGATGATTCTGATTTGCACTAAAAGTTTATAATCACTGTGCTAGAGAATAAAAAGAAAGATATACTTTGCAGGAAAGCTTTCTATCCAGAAAATAGTTTCTATCTATTTTAATGTGACATTTAGGTGTTTAAAATGTGTAATATCCTCCAAAATACATATTTTTGAAAAACTAAATGGCCGTTCCCACGTTATGGAATCTAAAAGCTGTAACACTGACAGCCACTGTTCATGTAAGGGCTAAGAGCACTCTGTTAGCCTGATGTGGTCGAAATTTCCCCAAGCTGAAGTGGAAGAAATGCCCTTTGTTCCTGGGTCAAAATGAGAGATAGCAAGTGGATTGCAGAGATAAGTTTGCCACCTCCTGTTGTGATCTATGGAAACTCTTTAAAAAGAGGAAATCTACTCTCTGAAATATAATACTAGCCACAGAGTTGTGCCACAGAGGCCATGAGGAAGACATGATGATGGCATTTGAAATAGGTGACAGAAGGGTACGCACTGTTGTCCTCAGCAAAACAGTGTCTGCTTCTTGCAAGGGGCATGGGACGCAGCTGGCCCACACTCTCCACTGGGGTCTCCAGTAGAACACCAGCAGAAGGCCCCCACAGGTCAGCACGGATGCGACGAGGCAGAGGGCTTTCCGTACATTCTGGTCACGGTAACCAAACACCTCCTGGAGAATAAATGTAAAAGATCACTGGATTTTTCTCCTTTTTTCACAGAAGCATATTATTTTCTTTCAATAAACCAAACTTTAGATGAAGGAATATTGGTCGGGAGAGAAATCTGGTGTTAGGTGGTTGAATCAAGTTGTCTGCTTGCAGCTGTCCGCTGATATAATCAAAAAAGAAGGACTTATTTTACTACCCTGGTATACGGAATTAAAACATTAAACAGGAGTAAGGAAGGGGCCAATTTATTTGCTTCTATGTATTTACAAGAGTTACCTCAGATTTTTATAAAATGCTTCATGTTTTGAGCCAGGTTTATATTTTTTAGGAATTAGATATTTTAAAAATTGTTAATATGAATTTATTTTAGGAAGATGAAAAATTTTGACAGATATGATCTACATTCATACATCTGGCTTTATCCATTCAGGTTTGTTTTATAATAACATGGTGAGAATGATCACAAGTATGAATAAATGTACTATTTTCTACAACAGTGTGATGATATAAATTAAGGAATTACCTGTGGGCATGAAAGACTTTCCAAAAGCAGCTTATATTTATTTACCCTGATAATAATATGCTAAAATATTTGGACTTTCAGTAGATTAGTTAATGTTTGTCATAAACTGAATAAAGACTTGAGATTTGGTTCTAGAGGGGAAAGTTGCCAAACAACAGATTTGTTTATTCAAAGCCAATTTCTAGTTCCCATCTTCTACAATGAAGTGTCACAGTATTGTTTTTAAATTTTAAAGCCTAAATTTTCAGTGCATTTTGAAGCCCCTGAGGGATGATGATTATGAATAATATCTTTATTACACTTTTTTTTTCTTTATTACACTTTTATTTTAGGTTCTGCTATTGTTGTTTTTGTGCTTTTTAAAAATATGACTGAACTCTGAATTTTCAGGTCCAGATCACAGGACTACAATTTCAAGAAACTTAGTTTTTACTAAGTGCCTAGAGCATTTTTGATGATGGAATATGCTGCATTTTATGCCAGTTTAGCTCTTACTAGAAAAAAATCTCTTGGCTTAAGATTTTTTTCCACTGATCCTCAACACTAGCATCCACCTGAGAAAAAAGTTTTTTAAGTTCAGTGATGCTGCCACTCTATTTTGAGATTATTCATATAAGGTTTAAATTAGCAATATGCATTCACCCTGCCTGCTTTTATACATGTTTTCAATTGTTTCTCCTTTCTGTTTCCTCTGATACTATAAACCTGCTTTCATTTTATTTGTGAATTATAGTTTTATTAGGCTCAAATAATATGTATATGCCACTTTACATATTCTGTCATAAATATACATTCTTTTACCAAGAACTATTTACAGGGGCTTACTGCCAAAGTCCAAGTGTGTGTGCAAAAATAGAAGCAGAACAAATTGGAATTTTAGTCTAGCTTATAGATGAAATGAGCTCATTCATAAATAACTTTCTCTTTTTCTGTTTTTCTATATACAGTAATGGCAGTGAAAATCATAATTCTGGCACCCCTTCAGTTCTCTTCTATACAACGTTTTTAAATTAAAAAACAAACTCACAATGATTGCAAGCCTGCAATGAAAGCAATACAACTACATGCTGCTAATAACCTTGTAAACTGGAGTAAGTTTTAGGAAAAGTAAGGTGACAAATTGTATCAAGAATTGTAAAGATATTTCTACTCTTTGAATCAGTAATTCTTCATTTGGAAATATGCCCTAATAAAATAATATCTCAAGAAGAAAGTATTGCATATACAACGTTCAGTGCAGCATTATCTATAATAGCAAAAGCAATGGGAAAACCAAATGATAGCTAATGGTTCCGTAAGTTCTGAAACATCAAAACAATGGACTACAGCAGAGCCCTTGAAAACAAAATACATGATGCTAATGTAGAAATCTGGAGCATACTGTGATATAATGTTAAATGGAGAAAAAAACAAAGAACAAATAGCATCAATGGAAAACAAGTAGCAACATTATGAAATTTAACCCAGCTGTATCGGTAATTACACTAAATGCATATAACCATAATGCTATGATTAAATGCAAAGATTATGAGACTAGATAATAAAATATCTATTGTATGCCATTTGCAAGAGACACACTTTTTTTAATGTTGTCAATTTTTTTCTTTTTTTAAAAATTTATCGTACTTCAAGTTCTGGGGTACATGTGCAGATCATGCAGTTTTGTTACATAGGCATACACGTGCCATGGTGGTGGTTTGCTGCATCCATAGCGCCATCATATACATTAGGTATTTCCCCTAATGCTATCCCTCCCCAATCCTCCCCACCCCCTGCTATTCCTCCACCAGCCCCCTACCCCCCAGGCCCTGGTGTGTGATGTTCCCCTCCCTGTGTCCATGAGGAGACACACTTTAAAGAAGTGGCTGCGTTAAAAAGGAAAAGAAGGGGACAATATACCATGCAAAAAGTAGACGAAAGCTGATATTGCTGTATTACAATCTCACAAATTATATATTTTTAAGGATAGTTAAGGAAAAAATACTAGGAGAGAAAAAGAAGGATATTTCATAAGCAAAAAGATCAGTTCAACAGGAGAACATAACAATTCCAAATTTTTGTGCATCTAAAAAACAGTTTTAAACTGTATAAAGCAAAACTGATAGAATTTAAATCTACTCTCATCATTGGAGATTTTAACACACCCCTCTCTCTCTCAATAACCAACAGAATAAGCAGACAAAACATTCAGTATGAATACAGGAGGTCTGAACAACTCTATTAGCTACATTGATCTAATTGACAAATATAGAAAATTACAGCCAACAACTGCAGAATTCAAATATTTTTCAAGTACATATAAAATACTTACCTAAATTGAGCATATTCTCAGAAATTAGAAATTCTTAGAAATTAAAAGTTCCCAAATATTTAAAAAGTAAACAACATATTTCAAAACAACACATACAAGTCAAATAAGAAATTACAATAAACATTAGGAAATCTTTTAAACTGAATGAAAATGAAAATTAAGAAATAAAAATTCATGGACTGCAACTGAGACAATTCTTACACAGAAATTTACAGCTTTAAATGCATATCTTATTAAAGAAAAAAAGTTTGAAATCAATAAACTAAGCTTCCAACTCAAGAAGTTATAGGAAGAAAAGCAAATTAAACCCAAAAAAAGTATAAGGAAAAAACTATAAAGATGAGAGAAGAAATAGAACAGACAGTAGAAATACAACATGATAGAGAAAATCAAAGCCAAATTGGTAATCTGAAAAGATTAATAATATTGATAAACTCATGAATAAATATGAATATTAATGTTTATTAAAGAAAATTAGTGTGCAATTTAAAAGTTCCCTGCAAAAAAATCTTCAAGTCCAGAGAGCTTGTGATTTCTTTGAAATATTTAACATAGAAATGATACTATTCTTTAACAAACCTCTTTGTAAGTAGAGGAGATGAAAATTCTCCCAATTTATTTTATGAAGCCAGCATACTCAGACACCAAACTCTGATAAATACGTTGCAAACCAGGAAAATTACAGGCTAAGCCCTGTCATGAACATAGATAAAATAATTCTAAATAGGTTATCTAATTAAATCAGTGATATATTAAAAAGTTAGTACATCACTACCAAATAGTGTTTGTCCTAGAAATGCAAGGATTTGAAAATCAATCAATGTACTCTGCCATTCAATGTACTTTAAAATTCAGAAGGAAACTCAGAGGGTCATCTCAATACATAGAGAAAAAGACTTATACAATTCTACACCAATACACGATTAAAAAAAAATCTCAACAAATTAAAAATAGATTGGGAACATCTTTAAGATACATCATGTAAAATGACGAAATATTGAATATTTTCCCACTGAAGTCACAACAAAACAATATTGTCAAAGATCACCACTAATATTTATCAGTATAGTAGCAGAAACCTTAACAATTGCAATGAAAGAAAGAGAGAGAGAGAGAGAGAGAAAGAAAAGAAAGAAATAGAAAAAGAAAGTGAGAAAAGAAAGCAAGGATGCAAACAAGAAAGAAAATAACAATTGAAAACAATAACTAAACTCTATGTGTAGATAATGTGGCTATATACATAAAAATATCCAAAAGAATGTACAAAGTATAAGAGTTAAAAAGTGAATTTATTAAGATTGCTGGACACTAGGTCAATATAGAAAAACCAATTGTATTTGTATATATTAGCGACAAACAATTTGAAAATTAATTAAATACCATTTATAATAGTTTCAAAGAAAGAAATCAATTACTTGTAATAATTCTAACAAAGTTATACCAGGCATCTAAATTGAAAAGTGTATATCATCACCAAGAGACAGTAAAGGCCTAAATAAATGAAGAGCTGTATTAAGTTTGGAGATTAACCATTAATCCAATTTAAAATCTCTTCAGATTTTGTGTGTGTGTGTGTGAGTGTGTGTGTGTGTGTGTGTGTGTGTGGCAATTGACAACTTGGTTCTGAAATTGGTATGGAAATGCAAAGGATGTGAGATAGTCGAGACAATTTTTGAAAAGAATAAATGTGGAAGAATGACACCACCAGAAGTAAAGATTTACCATAAAGCCACAGTAATTAAGAAAATGAGGTATACACACAAGTATAAACCAAAAGAATAACAAAACAAAGTAAAGTCCCAATAGAGACTCAAACATATGATTTCTTCACTTGCAAGAAAGGAGCCACTACAATCTGTGGGGGAAAGGGTGCTTTGCTCAACAAATAGTGCCAGAGGAAAACGAATAATGATGCAAAACAAATGAGTACAACACCCACCCCAGACCCAATCCACTGATTTATACCATATAAAAGAATTTTTATATCATATAAAAGAAGAATTTTTATATGGTATAAATCAGTGGGGTGGGTCAACTGAAACAATGAATCATGTGAAAGAAAGCACAGGATGAATTATTTTATGAGCCTCAAGCAGGCAAACGTTCCTTAAACAGAAAATAAAAAAGAAAGACAAAACAAATGTATTCAACTTTAGTTAAAATTAAAA